TCAAAGTGACCAAAAGCATACGAAGCCTCATGCCTGCCCTGTTTGGCTAGGACTAAGATGCAAATGACCATAGTGAGTAAACCAATTCCAGTCCAGTAAATAGCAAAGGTCTATTAGTGATTTGATAGAGGTTAGCGTAAGGGCTTAAGGTTCTTGCACGAGTAGGGAGGAATGTTTAAGAACGAGATGACTCACATCAAGGTATGGGAGCCACCGGTTACCCAATGAAGAGACAAGATTGCAAAGAAAGGTCAAAGCCACAAAGATGAGATAGACTTGATATGTCTCCGCTTGGAAGATACCCTCTCCATCTTCATTCTCAAAGACATTGATACAACCGATGATGAACAGAGTCGTGCCAAAGTTGACCGCGAGTGTGATAAGGATGTTTCCAACAACATAGGCCCAACCGCAAATCCAAGACGTAATCCTTCTCCAGCTCTTGGGTGACAACATGAAGGTCTGGTAGTAGACGCCCCCAGCAGTGGGATACACGCTCGTGATCTCCGCAAGAGATAGCGCAACACAAAAAATGATGACAGATACCAGCAACCAACCCCAGATCATGGTGACTGGGCCGCCATTCATGAGGGGATAGATGAGACTTGTTGCCAAACCGTAAGGGATGGAAGCAAGAATGAAGGCCATGAAAGCCAGCTGGAAGGTAGATCTGTTCTTTGCCAGCTCCGAAACATAGCCTGTCTTCTCATCGAGGTTTTCCACTGTGCCGTTTCGCTGTTCGACGTCATTGTCTCGATGGTCGAATTTCTTCTGGTCCGAGGACGAGAGTGCAGTATCACTCTGATGGTACGGCGGTAGGTTGTCGGAAGCCATGATGTGTCGTTTGCTGAAGGGGCTACTGGTCGCTGGCTAGGTATGTCTGAATGTGCTTTCGAGATAGGAATTAGTGTTCCTGGCTTCAAAGTCGAAATAGCTTATGTCAAACTAATAATTTCGATCCCGACTTTCTTTCAGAGAAGTTGGCTGTGCGTGTCGCCTTCGAAGTCGGTCTTAAATGTTTCTTGTGATTGTGCCCAAAGCGTTGTCCTAGGTAAGTAAGCCTTATCAACTTTGTGTGACTGACTTCTCAGCTTCATTTCCAACATAAGCCAATCGCAAGGGTTCACCTTGGCAGGGTTAGTGATAGGATAACGGGCCAGGCTGGCTCCCCAAACAACTGCCTTGTGATCCTTGACTCGCATGACGGACGGTTGGTGGAGACGGTGGGTTCTAGATTCTGGGGTAAAGCAAACTAGTAGCCCACAGATTTGAGGGGAGCGAATAGAAATGCATTGATTACATGGACTTTGGACGGCTAACTTAGATTGAAAGCCAGATGGAGTTTATCCTGTCCAGCTGCTCTCCTTCCCTCACATACTCAACATTCGATACTTGCCTCGTATGGCGTTGTATGTTCTCTAGACACATGAAGCTGAGATGTTGGTGGAATAGTTTCTCTGCGTCTTACTGTGTTGAGGTTCTCCTGCAGGTAACGGCCCGTGTCGTCACTGAAGAGAAGGAGACATACTGCGCTCATGTTTGCTTCTTGTTCGGGTCATTCGTTCCGACGCCATGATGCAACCTTGGTCCGCACTCAACGCCAAACGAAATTGTACTTCCCCTTGTCACTCACAAGAGAGCTACGACATCCGTTACCTAATTGGGAGATTTATGGCGCGAGACCACCATCACTTTTTTCATCACTCCTATCATCCAGTCCACATTTGATAACGGGTTTGAACTATCTAAATTGGGTCTAGTAATCTCAGAATCTGGGGGAGACCATCATCGTTCATAACTGCCTTTTTGGGAATAGGATATCTGTGGCTGCTTCGTTCGAGAGTGCCTCCTCTTTGTGTCGACGACACCTTCATGGGAGCTTTACCAATGAGATCGAGTCAATTATTAAAAGACCCTTCTTCCACTGTTCTCATCGATATCATCTTGATTGCCTTTGCCTCATCATCATTCTATATCAAGCTGGACTGTGCTCTTGCAAACAACTTCATACTCCAAAGCACTCTGCGAAACAAACATTTATTCTTCCCCATATTATTCATCTCCCTTCTCCACAATGTCTGTACCTCTCAAGGTTCCCGAGGGCAACATGCCTGCCTCGTGGTACTACCAGCCTGCCTTCTTTGAGTTAGAGAAGCGTGCCGTCTTCTCTCGCCATTGGCTCATGACCACTCATCGTTCTCGGCTACCCGAGACCGGCAGCTTCCTTCGTTTTGAGATGGCCGGCTTCGACTTCTTCCTTATCAAGGATAAGAAGGGGGAGATCCATGCTTTTCACAACGTGTGCCGTCACCGTGCCTACCCCATCCTCGAGGACAAGGACGGTCGCGAGGGCAAGAAGCTCATCCTCAGCTGTGGCTACCATGGTCAGTACCCGTGCAAAATATAGCAGATGATGCACCATCTTGAGTATGCTAACCATAGTATCATGAGTTACAGGATGGTCATACGGCCTTTCCGGAAACTTAGCCAAAGCCCCAAAATTTGAGGAGGTTGATGATTTCCGCAAGGAGGATTACTCCCTCTTTTCCATTCACACTCATATTGATAAGCTCGGTCTTATCTGGGTCAACTTTGACGCTTCTGAGACTCCGATTCCATGGGAAGAGCTCAATGGCGGTACAGATGAGCAGCCTCGCTTCGAGGATTTTAACCTCGACGAGTACGTTTACGAGCGTACTTGGACTACCAATGGGAGCTACAACTGGAAGCTAGTTGGTGAGAACTACAACGAAGTAAGTAAGAATCAAAATCTGCTGGGACTGAACCTAAGTGAATTAGTTCTTGGCACTGATACAGAGATACTAATACAACTCTTTAGTGTTACCACTGCCAGGCATCGCACCCTGGTATTACCAAAATCACCAACCTCGACCGCTATTCGGTCGAGACTAGGGGCGATGGCAAGGGACGTATGGAGCACTTCCCACCGAACAGAGATGACATCAAAGAAGAAGATGTCCAGTTCTTCGGCAATGGCGCCTTCACGTTTAACTACCCTAACACTTCACTCAACCTGTCCACCCCCTACTGGTTCCTGATGCGCGTGGTTCCCAAGACCCCGACCACGGTCACGACTGAATATGAGGTGTACCGTAACCCCAACTCGGCTCGAGAGCACTTTGACCGAGCTGCTGAGTTCTTCGAGGGCATCGAGGTTGAAGATTTCCATCTCATGAATGGTGTGCAGCAGAACCTTGGTAACAATGTCTTCGTCAATGGACCCTTGCACTCCAAGCGCGAGTCAGGGACCATGGCCTTCAAGCGCCTTCTAAAGAAGGATCTCGAGAAGCACTTTGAGGCCGAGAAGAAGCTTGGCGCCGAAATCCATTATTCTAGGAGGAACACTCAGATTCATCCCTCCATCAAATTGGAGGAGAACTTTTGCGGTGAAGTCTGCGCTTGCCGGGCCGCTGCCGAGGCCGCTGCTTAAATCTCAATATAGTGTTAGGTAGCCATTATACCAAGTTTGTCAAGCATGATTTTCGTTATACACTGGCAGTAGTCTGGCGACCCCTGAGTAGAGCAATGATCTCATGTAGACCTTTCCCTTTTGCTAGTGTTAAAGGTGTATCTCCTTTTGCATTGGGTAGCCCAGCTTGTGCGCCTTGATCCAAAAGCAATCGAACCATTGAGAGATTTCCTGCTTTGACAACCTCGATAAGAGCTGAGTTTCTTTCCGTTTCTGAGAGCTTTCTTCCGGGTAACGGTAACATGAGTTCTTCTACGTCATCCACATCTACTCCAGAGTCCAGGAGAGCTCGTACACCTTCAATTTGTCCAAATTGCACCATCAGCCGCAGTGCCCCAGTACCCCGTATTCTCACCCCCCTTTTAAGCAACCAAAAGAGCATGAATTCAGCTTTAGCATCCTCTTGCTCAAATGATAGAGCTGTGCGAAGAACGCTCATCCGAGGCCATTCGTGTTCTATGTCAACCCCCCGAGCCAGCATGTAGTCCACGTACTCGAACCTTCTGTGCCTCAGTGCTGATATGATGAGGCTCCCTAGCCGTCCCTCGGGATGTGTAGAATATGGGGGCGCACGAGCCAGTGCCGACGGTTCGCATTTCATGAAAACAGATGCAAGTCCGGTGCTTCCCTTAACTGCCGATCGCTTGAGGCACTCCCAAGGGATCTGAACCCGCTCATCGCCACACGAGTGCCTTTCGTGAGAATTCGAAGGGGGGCAGAGCTGGTCTACAAAGTGTGGAGCAAAAATTGAATCCCAAATAGTCTTGAAGATATCAGGAGCGTCGGCCTCAACAGTGGCTAACAGTAATCTCGAGGGTAGAGAAAAGGACGACGATAGCGCGCTTGGTGTGGTGTATTCATCCCGAACTGCCATCGTAAGCTAGCGATAAGAATTGCGAGAGGACGCTGGCGTTCCCTTCTCTGATCAGCTTGAGCAGGTGATCATGGAGGCTTAGTTCGCTTGGAGTTGGTGTCATTTTGTCAGCCCAAAATTCACGCGCGGATATAGGTTACAGATGATCAATGTTAAAAAAAAAAGAAGAAGAAAAAAGGAATCAAATGACCCGCACAATAATCCATGTGACGCGATATTGCCTATGCCGAGTTAACAGAAGTACAACTCAGGGCATGATTTCAAAATAACAAAAGGGTCAGAATAAGAGAGATGGCTTTGGATCATATCACGCGGACTCGTTTTGAGCGAGAATTCTCACCCTGTCCCATATTCCTTCTCGAAATTTCTTCTCTTCTCAACATCACTCACCCAGAAAGGATCTCTTATCAAGCGTTGTATAAGCTGAGTCTATCAACAGCTCATCATACTTACCTAGTTTCTAAAAACATGAAGGTCATGAACCTAGGTTTGCGAAGGAAAACAAAACACAAGAAAGAGGTGAAAGATGGGACGAGGGCCTTTTATGGCAAAACCAGAGAAGATGTGTGGATATTACTGAAATAGTTCTCAGCTAGTAGACTTGGAACATTCTATCCTTCAACCTCGAGAGAACTTTCACAGCTTGACTATGAACAACGGCTCACCCAGAAGGTCCATACGAACATCACCAAACCCATTGCCTGGTAGAGTACTGGCCGTGATCTTGCCGTCGTTCTCTAAGCGAGGAACATCTGCAATCAACGGCTCAATCCATTCACACTGCAAGTCAACCGCGCGCAGGCTTCGGCTTGGGGTAGTAGTAGCCAGCACCAAGTTCTGTGAAGCCGTCAAGGCCGAGCCCCAAGTGTCATCACAAACAACCGTCATGCCAAGCGCAACGGCCGCATCGCGCATAGTACGAGCCTTTGTCAAGCCCCCAACCCGAGATGGTTTGATGTTGACTCCCGCGATTCCGGCAGCACGGGCCTCGAAGAGATCGGCCAATGTCACGACCGCCTCGTCACAGAAGATTGGCAGCCCTGTGCGGCGACCAACCTCGGCACACTCAAATATGGTCGGGCAAGGCTGTTCCAGACCCACAGCGACATCCTGTCCAATTGCACGGGCAAACAAAAGGGCTTGGTTCAGATTCCAACCCTCATTGGCATCCGCCCAGACCTGAACATGGGGAGGAAGCATTTCACACACGGCCTTTACTCGCCTGGCGTCAGACAAGGGATCGTCCCCAGCTTTGAGCTGAATTGCTGTAACGCCGCAGCTCAGCTCTTCCTTAACTTGTGCAACGGCGTCCTCTGGCCCTTGGATTCGAATGACTGAAAATGACTGAGGTCGGGGTGTAAGGAAACCTCCGAACAAAATCGCAGTCGGCAAGCCAACCGACTTGCCGAGAAGATCCCAGCATGCCATGTCAATCACGGCCTTTGCATGTAGTGCCCCGAGCATCGCCTTATCCATAATCTCGACGATGGCAGCGGGCGACCGAGGATCTTGGCCGATGATATGCGGACCCAACTCCTTGATAGCTGCAAGCTCCCTGGTGAAAGAGCTTGGAAGATAATCACTGCCGAGAGGAGCCGACTCGGCCCATCCCTCGACACCATCATCAGTACGGATTCGAACAACAATGGACGGATGTCCTGTTGCTACCCGACCGCCTGACATAGAATATTGACCATGTACATATTTAGCCTCGTAGGAGAACACAGTAATATCGGTTATTTGCATTTTTGCCGTGAAAGTAAGGATATATGAACAATAAAGCTTGATGGTAGGAGTTCAAACTAAAAAGGGGGCTGGGGTTCGGGGCGTGCTGTCTTTGCTTCTGAGCTTAGCGTCCGCTAGTGCTTTGTACTACTGTCGTTTGTCACAAATTGTCCAAGATAATCGTTATTGAATTGCACGAATATCAAGCCTCTTTAAATATACAACGGCCAGACGGACTTGGAACGGAAACAGACCGCGTGGGGTAACCAGTAACTGGTGGGGACGGGATCTGTCCGTGGATCCGATCATACTTCCATCTGGATCTGGCCGGTTGATGCCTCGTTGATCCTTATGAGGCGTTTCAAAACTTAGTACTGTGTTAAAATGTAACTTATCTACTTCACGATTATCATTTTTGTCTAGGCTACATGCGTGCATTTGTGGCGGAATATGGACTTCTTCATTCTTACTGACCCCCCTTCATCGACGAAGTAGAGGCTGGAGGCTTGATGAGAAGTAAAGAAGTTAAATCAGTGTACTAAGACATGTCCGCATTGATTTCGCAGAAAACTACGAAGATTCAATAACATGTCAAGACTCCAGGCGACATTGGCAACGAGTTGCAACCCCTAGATATTTCAAAGACCTAATAAAGTATTAAGAGATATCGGGCATATCAAAGCTTATCCAGTCATTAATCGCCTTTCCAAAATCTTCCGCCTGCAAAGGGAAATAATCTTGCTGGTCTACCATGTTCAGTTCCCCGAGTCCCGTGAAGGGTTGCTCAGATAGAAAGCCAGCTCCGTCTATCTCACCTACTGTCACGGCCGTGGATTGCGACACATTATTGCCCTCTTGTGGTGGGTACGCGAAGTGTTCCTTTCTTGCTGCCCTGTGCCCGAATAGGCCAGCGGATCCAACCGTAGCACATTCAGTTACGTCTTGTTGCTGCCTGTCATCTATTGTGATGGTATCGTCAAACATAGACATTTCCGGGTCAAGGGAACCAGCTTTCTCGTAAATCAAAAGCTCCCATAATAAGTTCGCATTAATCGACCAAGATTGATGGGTATTAGCCGCCTGTTCGGTTCCTACAGTTGTGTCGATCGCGACGCTATCCCGCAGTTGCTGTAACTTCTCGGTCTAGAGAAAGGGCCAAATCAGTCATGTTCCATGGCTAGTCTAATAGGGCCGACATACCATGCGCATGATGCGAGGCCACACCGGCGATGCCTGCTTCAGGAAACGTAAACAAGTCTCGTATCCGCTTTGTGCCTTGCTCCTGAGAACATTATCTTCAACGAAGCTATGTTGAAGGTGAACCGTTGCCACAATGACTACACAATGCGCGATCACAGGATCATTGAGCTGGAACTTTTGCTTCTCAAGAACATTCAGGAAAAAGATAACCCAGCCTGTCTCTCTGGATAAATGTTCGAACGAGTTGTGTATGAACGTGAGCGGCAGCATGTGTCGGAAGTTCCTCAGCCGTAGCGACAGTAAAAATGGGTGGTTGAGCAGTATATAAGTGGTCTCATGTATGAAATGAGTCATGAAAAATGATGCCCAGTAATCTCTTCGCAAGTTCAAAGTTTCGGAGCTCATGCCACCGAAGTTGCTAGTGGCGTATCGATACTTCAGTGGAAACTGACACTCGAACTCGAGGTTGCGCAACATGACCAGTGAGTAGTCAGACTGCGGGCTCCAAGGGGGGAGACTGTCTGCTCCAACCCGAGCAGCAGCGTAGGCCCTAACCATATGCCAGATCTCAGCTGCTTGTGCCTTGTATTGCAAAATTCCTTGGTAAAACTCTTCGTTTGCATTTATGTCTTGCGCGAGCTGGGCCTTCTCATGGTCCTGAGGTTTAGTCGAAAGTTGAAGAAAGATACCCCCAGGAACGGATTTATCCAAGTCAGGAATACGACCTTGAAGATACTGCAAAGTTGAAACACTATGGACACATAGTTGGTATTCCTCCGGATTGCCCAATGATGAGCCTAGAGGAAGGGCATCCTTGAGATATGTGGCCATGGTAAGATCGAGTCCGGCCTGAGTCGAATCACCGTCTTGACATCTCGCATTAGCACGGTCCGCTCTCCAGAGACAGAGGGGATATTTACCTGCGAAGACAACCATACCAAGAATGCACAGGCATTGTAACGTAGACAATCTAACCTTCCCATTGGCTATCCGATCTGTAACTAGTCTCCTGGATGATCTCACTGCCGAGGCCGCTTCTTGTCGCTTTTCGGCCTTGAAATCCCCAGGTGGGAATCTAGCTACGAGGAGTCTGATTGCTAATTGAAGCTCTTGGTCACGGGATCCCAAGGTGGCGAGGAAATTGTCCTTTCTGAAGAGCGATATCGGCTGGTCATGGCACCACTGGAGATATAGTTCGCCGGCGAGTTTGAGATCCGTGCCTGCCAATTCCCCTCTTGGTTGTAAAAGACTATGTATAGTTAGTGTTGCCCTCATACAAGATACCTGGGTCTCTGGCGGCGTACGGTATAGTAGAATGTTCATTGTAAGCTTGAGCAGGTTGATCAGGGTTGAGTAAGTGTTGTTTTGGCAGTGAAGCTGAGGACGAACCCACAGCACCTGGAGAGTGATTTGGTTGAAACGTGCTATATAATGCATCAGTTTCTGCACCCGTGGGACTATTTCTCAGGCTGACCTCAAAGAATTGAGAACTTGATCCAATTTCGTCTCAAGGCTATTCATTCGAGAACTCTTAACACCGGATCAGTTGTTTGCCATTAATGCCCGAATGCCAATGTCATCGTCTCCTCATTGACAACGAATGCAAAACGATTAGATATCGAGGCTATTGCTGTCATGGAGACTTACTATATTAGGGGTTTCGGCCTCCTGGCTCAAATCATATGCCGCAGGCCTATATTCGCAGACCTGTCCGAGCCTCCGACAGAAGGAGCACACCGGCTGCTCCCCTGGACATTTGACCTTTTTGCGCCTGGAGACAGTGTATCGATTAATTTTTCAATCACCAACAAATGAGGCCCAGTGAACTCACCGACAAGGTACACACGCGCGGCTAGTTCGCCTTGACCTCGTGCCCTCCATGTTCAGCAGATTATTGGACCATCAGTGAACCGGTTGGAAGCGGGGAAAGAAAGAATCATGCATGAGCGCACAGTACGGAGCAAATCCCGGGGCCAAACCCTCTCTAGTAAAGATCGGGTTAACTGGATTTGTATTCTCCATCATGCTAGTAGCGAGGGAGATAACCGGAGAGGGGCTCCCGGGAACTATTCCGGGGCCACCGAATGGTTTGACCCATACTACATTTCCATGGGCGATGCCGAGCAGAGAAGTCCACACGATATTTACCTTACGCTTTCTATGTGATAGAGTCTAGTTGCATGATGATTTATCTTGCGTATGCGATGTTGAGGAGCAACACAATATTTGTTTCGAAATACTGACGTATGGTCACAACAAGCGCTCCAAACTGTATTCAGGACATAGTGTTCTGTTCATGACTTGGAAACTTCTCTAACAGGCCTTATTGGAACCATGATAAGTCTGGGTCAGGGGGGTAGAGAACTCTTCGTAATTTAGGTCGCAAATGTTGGTTCTTCCGCCGCTTTTCGAGTCATTGCACTACCTAGGAGGTGCAACATGGGCCATTATGTGACGATGCGCCATCCATTTCTCTCAATATCGCATGCAAGTGTAACGTCGGCCTGTAATGGCTTACAAAATGCCACTCGTGGAAATAAAAACTTTCCTTTGCTGCTTTTAAGATGAGGCGGAGAGCGCGTTGTGAGTCCGGGAGTGGAGCTACACGGGGTTTGTTTAGACCGCAAGCGGACTTTTCTTATACCTCAACCCACCATGGCAGGGCTTCATGAGAAAAATAAGGAAAAATCAGCATTGCGTTAATACGCTGTGAGGCCCATCGAGTTCCGTTCTATCCGAAAGAGTGGATTATGGTTCTACGTGAATCACGCTTCGACCCTCTTTGACTTCCTCAACCTGGAACCCCCGTGGATCATGGTGAGAACATCACGGATATTCGGCAAGTCGATAAATGTGATTCCTAGCAACGCTCTCCTTTACAGCTGGACTACTTAGGGGTATGAATATTTGATCGTCAACGGAGTACTCCATGGGGCTATTTCAACCCCGTTACGATGCCCATGGGGCTTTTGCCCCAGAAGCTTCAAACGGTGGGGACAAGCGGACATGTAAATGAACTCGCAAAGACATAAAGTCGCCGTGGCTGCCATCGACTTTATCACTGTGTCAGTCTTTGCTCGGTAGCTGGTGTTCAAATATCCTCAAACTACAGAATTATGGCACCAAAAACTCCGTTTCTTGGCTTTAGGGGCTCTGCTCTACGAGCTATGCAAATAGCACTCGTCGTAGCCCCCGGATTCACAATATTCGGCTACAACCAGGCCGGAGTCGGGCCTCTGGCAACTCTGGAGAGCTGGGTTGAAGTGTTTCCTCAAATCGACACTATTCATACCACTGGTGCGGCTCGGTCCACCAACTCTACAGGGAAAGGAGCTGTCATTGCTTCTTTCCAAATAGGCGCCTTGATTGGTGCCCTCTCCTGTCTCTTCATTGGAGACATTCTAGGAAGACGTAAGACGATCTTTCTTGCGGCATTATTCACCCTGATTGGACAGGTTCTGCAAGTTTCGGCATACAATCTGATCCAGTTCGTCGTCGGCCGCATCATCATCGGGATAGGCGTTGGCGAAATCAGCGTCGCAGTCCCAGTTTGGCAAGCAGAATGTTCCTCGGCAAAGCACCGAGGTCGGGATGTCATCACCGCTGGTATATTCATGTGCCTTGGGTATGCTCTCTGCAACTGGCTAGATTTTGGCTTCAGCCGAATTCCCAACTCCACACTTGAATGGAGACTGCCCCTCGTGTTGTCAATTGCGCCTTCTTTGACTATGCTGGGTGGCATTCTCTTACTTCCAGAGTCTCCAAGATGGCTTGTACGGGTGAACAAAGAGTCCAAAGCGACCCAAGCACTGGCCGCCCTTAAAGACCTCCCGGAGATAGACGAGGCTATTAGAACCGAGATTGCTCAAATCCAATCCTCTCTGGAGTTTTCAGCACATGGAAACACCTCTTTATCGCAGATATTTTCCAAGGACGACAAGGAACGGTTGTTATACAGGTTCTGCTTGTGCTTTGCTCTTCAATTCTTCCAGCAGATGTGCGGTGGTAACCTCATCAGCACATATGCCAGTACAATCTTCCAGGAAAACCTAGATCTTGGAAGCACACTGTCGCGAATATTAGCTTCATGCGCACTTACCTGGAAATTCCTCTGCTGTTTTATTTCCTTCTTCGCCATCGACAAACTCGGGAGACGGGCCGTGTTTATGATCAGCGGCACAGGAATGTCATTGTGCATGGCAGCTCTAGCTATCACAACTAGTTTCCCGTCGACAAACAAGGGTGCCTCCATTGCATCGGCTACTTTTATCTTCCTCTTCAACTTATTCTATCCCATCGGCTTCTTGGGAGGAAACTTCCTTTACTGTACAGAGGTAGCCCCAGTCCGACTGAGGATTGCGATGAACTCCATCTCCACCGCAAACCACTGGCTGTGGAATTTTGTGGTGGTCATGGTGACACCTGTGGCCATCGACACTATCGGATACCGTTACTATATCATGTATGCCATCATCTCAGCCATGATTCCCATTTTGGTCTTCTTTTTCTACCCAGAGACAATGAATCGGAACCTGGAGCTCTTGAACAACGTTTTCCGAGACGCATCCAGCCCTTGGAAGATCGTGTCAATGGCGAAAAACTTACCCCAAGGCGAGCTAGCAACATACAGCCCTGAAGGAAAGGGCGATATCAAAGTTGAGCAAAAGGAGGAAGCAGCGTAAGCATCACCTGCTGAGTATATTTGTATATTTTCCTTCTTTTGAAAACCGAGCAAGATGGTATGAACATAAAAAGGGCGTTGTTATAGGTAGGTTGTCTCAAATAAAGTATAGTCAACATGAAGCACTTGTGAGACTCCACAGCTGCAATCGAGACGAGGCAAATTGATTAAACGTATCACGCCATTTATAATGAAGCACTTATGAACCCTGCCAATTTCCAGTACTTGATAACATTTACGTTTGAGGCCCACACATGAACTAGCAAAATGGCATCAGATGTCGTCAAGGAGAGTATATATAGGGGTTGAGCGTTGGAAAAGGAGAGTTCTCATCAAACACGCTCGCTCCCCCATTCTAGTGAGCCCAATAGATATCAGATTTGCAAATAACTAAACATGGTCGCTTAACTCAGTTGGTTAGAGTGCCGTACTAATACATTCATCCAATGTGTCTAGTAATGCGGACGTCGCCAGTTCGATCCTGGTAGTGACCATCTTCTTTTGCTTCCGTCTGGTTTGTAATCAGTCCCAACTTTTTTAGCCTCCCTCTAGCGACAGTCCCTCGCATCGGATCATGCCACTACGGCCGTCATAGATACGTTTAATTAGTTCCTTTTCTTTTTTGGGCGACTGGGAAAAAAAGTGTGGCAAAAAAGGAGGTTTGATTCCGGCCATGTGCGTCTAAACGAAGAAACTAAACACGAACGCCCGTAAGTTCCAATAAAGATTAAATCGCTCGCTCAAGTTAAACTCAAAATAGACCCGCCGGACATGAACATTGCAGACTCCCAAGGATACCTCATCTTGACAACATTTGATCCGGACTGGGCAGTAGTCGGTCCCTCACTCCGCCCCTCATTCTTCCCTTTTCTGCCCTCGGCTCTCGCGTTTGACTGGGAGCTAGAGGTGCTTCTTCTTGACGTTTCGTCGCTGCTCAAATCCCGTCTACGCCATACATTCTCGACGACTGCACATGCCGCGGCAACACTCTTCAGAAAGGGATAGGTTAGGGATGGCTCGTTCAGGATAGGAGAGACGAATAGCGTGTGACTGTTTGCTTACCCCGAATAGTCGTTCCCATTGGAATCTCTCTAGAATACTCAGGAATTTAACGCGGTCATCCTCGTTCGTGATGGAGCAACCAGCAATGAACATTGGCCATATCGGTAAAGCAGCTGTTACAGGCTGAGTTCCGCAGACAACCTCAACAAGGGAGAAAATCTCCTGGATATACTCGTGACGGTGCCGCCGACATGCAGGTACTATATCTGGGAAATGAAGGGAGCAGGTGTCGTCAAGAAAGATTAGTGCAGCCAGTCGGTTCGCTTCCGCTGTCGCTCTAATTGTCTCGAGTCTGGGCGCGGACGAAGCATCAGGATCGGGGCTCTTTCCTGCCCCTTCTTCATCATCGTCTAATATCGGATTCGGGCCGGCCTCATTCGGTGGTACCTGTACCAGGTTTTCCAGGGCTGTGTTCAACTGCCTAATCGTCTCGCTATTGCTTGGACCGCCTTCAGATGGTTTCTTCATATCAACTAGGTCACTGATGCTATTTATCAGCACCAATAGCGTGTTACTAAATCCCTGGTGAAGCTCAATCTGATCAGGATGGACTCCTTTGGCGAGGAGTCCTGCACCGATTTGCGCGGACCCTTGCTGTGGTTCATGATCAACCTCGGCTGGCTCCAGAACAAGACGACTAAAGTGCTCTTCAGGTGAGGACACCTCAGGAGTAGCCGCAAGATCTATTTGCCCGAGGTATTTGGATAAGGCCGATCTCGAGTTGGGTATGAAGCCATCGATCGAAAATGTCGCTTTCGCCATTACGGTGTGGTAGACAAAGTATTGACGGCAGAACTGTATAAGTTTCTTTGCGTATGGATCTTCGGATGCATCTTCGGGGCATGCGTCGAGTAGAAGTGATATCCCCATCAAGTGGTTCGTCCAAGACGGCTGGCAACGGTCAGAGATCTAGAGAGGGGTCAGCCGCCATCAAATGCTGCAACAGATATGGTATTCTCCCTTACATCGCACCAACAAAGCACTATTACCGACACCAATGCCTCGAGGTAGTTGACAAGCTGCTGGTTGACAGTCTGAAGAGATTTGGCCAGATTGGAGATAACTTCCTGGCGATGGCGCAATGCTTTAGCACGGAAACGAGGGTCGTTGTGGGCCAGCTTCGTCGCGCCGATGGCGAGAACGGCTGAGAGTACCGTGTCAGAAAAGGAGATCATCGGAAGGACAGCAAACCGCAATGGATTGTACGACTTATCGTCGAGTAGGGTTGTCCGGGCGCAGACATCGATGTCATAGAATCGTAAAATATATCCATCGTAGTCGTCAAGCGGCCGTACCAGTCCAGCTGAAGGCTGTGCAGTCAAGTTGGGCAATTTCCATTGATGGGAAAAAGACCGCTGCAGAAGCTTCAGAAGCTCCTCACTTGATAACCCGACAACTGGCTGCCTGCCAGAGTTGCCGGGAGAGTTTGAGTCTTCGAGCTCCCATACGTCTCTATTGCCACCCTGATCTCGGAGACTCAACAGCAACGCCTCAGCGCTGTGATGAGTCTGCGACTGGGAGGCTGCATAGAACTCGATATCATCTACTGATGTATTGACAAAGAAGAACCGTGCAGGACTGGGCTGCGGCGACAACGCATTGCTCGGAACCTTTACCGAATGTCCTCGGGATGTATCCTGGCGGCGCTGCTTACCGCTGTCTGAGGACCAGACACCCTGTCTGCCATGGCAGATTCCCCGCGCAATTGAATCTTCTACCCACTGTAGACGCACGCCATATTGGCATGTTAAATCCAACTTCCTGCACTTCTGGCACTTAGGGCGCTGCTCTATGAATATAACCAATCAGCCACCCGGACAACACGGGATGAATGAGAAGAACAGTGACGAAATCAAATATAAAATTACCGTCACACTTCACTCCGCGGGCGCGGCAAGACCAGCAGCCGGTGCGGGTTCGTGATCCTCGCGGATTCGATTCCGATGTTGATGGTTGGTCAGGGGCATGCGGAAGACTCTGCATTATCACGGTGCATGTGAATGATAAAATATGCAGAAAGACACAACCTCAAGTAAAATAAATAATGAAACCCCCTAGGAGAAACATGAAACCAGAGAGATCAATCACATAGCCAGCTTATGAGTATCGACCCTGAGCCAAGGAATTAGGTAGTTACTGATGGGAAGTAGCGGCGCAACGGATGATATCCGAGAATAGAGATAAGGAGGGAAAAGACATGACCCCTGAAGAGAAAACGAGCTACGGAAGAGATAAGATCAGTAATCACGGCAATTGCGGGGAAGTGCATTGATTCATCAGCAGCAGCGAACATAACCTTCACCAACGGCCTACCCTATACCCCAGCCTCTATGCGTATACCGGACACTTCAGGCTTCGTCAGTCGATTGGTAATTATTTACCCACGTCTATAATCTTGTTTCTTACATACTGACTTCTAAGTAATCTGGGATAGTCACAACTTTCAGTCTCCAATAGCATGGATATGGATCGAAAGATTAATGATCCTTTCACTCTGAGGGTCTAAATCTTAGATATGCGCCACCTAAGTAACAGTCACAGACGAGTCGTAGCACCCAAAACATGTAATACCTTATTGGCGTTTGACGCCTGCTAAGGACAAAGAATAAGAGATAAAATGGATTAAGGGACTATATAATTCTAACTAGCTAACTGGGGAAGGAAAATACTTACAGGGCAACGACGTTTGTATGATTACCACTAGAATAGCAGTAGGTAGACGCCCTTTACCCTCACCAGGGATCCCCCGGCGTTAAATACACACACACACACACACACACATGTGCCACCTGAGTTCCCTCACTTACATCAACTTCGCAATCACTGTTGACATGACCCAATGTGGTAAGATTGTAAAGTTTAGGGGTGTAGAACAATATTTTCCCAAGACAGTTTGATCAAGCCTCTCGTAAGGTTCCAGCCAACCCCCCCCCATCTCGCATTCTCCCCCAATAGCCTCGCCACTTACTCCCATCCTGTAGCCGAGGCAGCTTACAGTTGATCTTGATGGGTTCTCTGCTAATTCCTGTTTCCCAGATCCCCATCTCCTTGAGCGAAACATGGAGCCTTTTCTGGTGTATCCGCAGTCACCCTCACTTCTGAATCTTGTCTACAGTTCCTCCAACTAGATAAGTTATTCAATAATTGTTCGCAACAGCTAAAGAAACGAGTGCACTCTTTGGAACTAAAGTGATTTGATTGAGTAAAGATATATTGTTGCTATATGCCCCGGTACATTTCAATTTGTGTCCTACATAGAGGCTTTGGCTAGCTAGACCTTGTGTAGCACCCCTGTAGATGAATCCATCATCCAATGCTGAGCGGGGAGAACCACCGGATTGGGATCTTTAATCGGTTGGATAAAAGTCTTGTGCTCTTCGAAGTGAACCGAACGTATAAGTTGTGGTTGAATGATGGTCTGTTGTTGAGGTTTTATTTGTTCATGCACGACAGGACGCCGATGATGAACCGTTTTATCAACCGTTTTTGTCACATCTTTCCCAGGAGAATCCCGCATTAGCTGTGCTTCGTCATTTGCCCGTGGCTTGGTTGAGGCGTCCTGTGAGGTGGCAATAGCTAGTCGTTGGAGACCTGTGACTATTTGCTCCTCTGCTGGTTGAGTCTTCTCAGGGCCGCCGATGACTTCGGTCTGGTCCAACTCCGAATCCTGGGAGACGGATCGAACAAGTGATGGGGTTTTCAAAGGTGGTACTGGTGACCGAGGTCGCAACTTTTTTCCCAAGGGCCGTACAGCAGGGTGTTCCCTGGAGCTCAGGGTCTTGGTTCTATTTTCAGGCTGCAAAATCGGCCCTGATGGTGGGAGGTCTTCATGGCGACGATCCTGGCCAGAAGGATCTCCATTTCGGGCCATCCCGCATTGATCCGCGGCTGTGGAGCCCTTGGAAGATGCCTGGCCATCAACCGAACCCGAAACTGTCTTGGGTGTATCCTTTTCCATTATTCAATGCCTCGTTTGGAGGGTTTTCTTAGAATTGAAGGGTGTAAAGGTAGAAGAGAAGCAGTTGGGGATCGGGCAAGATCATTCCCGGGGCAAAATCATCCCCAGCGCCAGGCACTATGGCATGTCTGGCCGTGGCGAGCATGAAGTTTCCATTGCATTAGGGCAAAGGAAACTAACTCGTCATGACGTCGCCATCCATGCAATAGTGCAGCATTAGATCAAAATGCAGGACAGCTTCCTCCGATAATGAAGACGATTATCACGCCTCCTCGATCTAGACTTGACTCTCCAAATTGAGCCGACATCCCCCCTTGGGAGAACTAGGTTGAACTAGCAAATACTCTAATCCCCAAAATGTAACATGGATCAGCGGCGTTCAGCTCGACCTGATCAATTTCGGCTCTCCCTATCCCGCCGATCTACGGTAGGGATCTAGCTCAGTTGTGTTATACCCTAACGAGAAAGGGGCAGACTTCATGACGCCGACATGTCGAATGAAAAGTGGAAACTCGTGCCACATCACATTCCTAATGGCGTTGATCATTCACCAACAACCTCCGATGGCTCCGTTAAATATGTGATTCATGGCCCTGCCGCTCTCTCCCACCCCCACATTCCTGATACGGCTGGGTTCTGTCTGCTGGGATCGACTAATTCGATCGTTGATCCTCCGCGTGCAATAGCTCCATGAGCTGTATCCAGCTGTCGAGACTCAATTCGTCAGCAAGCCGACAATCCCGTACGTCCGCTCTAACTGCGTGCAGGCAGCTCTGAGAAGCTCCGAGGCTATGACGATGACGAAACAGCTGTTGGCCTCGGTCGTGATGTGGCTATGCAGATAGACTCTGTCAAGACGTCATGTACGTCTCTAGCTATATATCCAAGCCTTCATCCACGAGTGGAAAGCTTCATCCACACACAAGCATCATTCTCAACATTGCAACTCAAGTACCCATTCTTACACATCACTGTCCAAACAATACATCAACAATGGATAAGGCAAAGCGAGTAGTTAGTGAGTTCCTTCACAACGACGGAAAGCACAAGACAACCGTCGACCAAAACGTCCGAGAGGGTGTCACCAATGAGCACATTCACCCGGAAAAACATGAGCATGTCACGGCCGCCGTCGACAGAGAGGTTCACCAAGAACATCATCAAACTCGCATCCAGCCCGTGAAGGACAAGGAAATTCTGTAAGTCACATATGTGGCACCGCCCCTCTGGCAGCAGTCCTAACTCGTCCAAGTCCCGAGCAGCATTCTCACAATGTCCTACCTGTCGAGGAGAAGACTATTCATCATGGCGGTCATGACCAGGTGCGCCAGACCCTCGAGAGAGACGCTGCCCAGTATAAGGACACATCGACTACACACAGCACCAAACACACTACCACCACCAACCCGACTATGACGGGAGAACGCGTTCATCATCACGTCCACGAACACATCCAGCCAGTCATTGAGAAGGAAACCATCCAACCCCACGTTGTTCACACCACTGCCCCTGTCCACGAAACCCACCACGCTGCGCCCGTTCATCATGAGACTACAACACTCCCTACAAAGACCATGGAAGAATTTACATCAGGGATGGGCAAGTCTGGACTAGGATCAAAGGGCACCACCAATGTCCTTCGAGAGTACGAAGGTTGCCCACAGCCTCACAAGGATACTCCCGGGGCCCATCGCCTCATTCACGGAGAACAAGGAGGGGTTGGAGCTGGCACTGAAAGGTACGGCGAGAATCTCACAGACACTCGTGCTGAATCCAACACCCTCGGTGGGGGTTATGGTGAGAATCTACCAGCGTCGACTGGACGCGGGGCATATGAAACCACACGCAACGACGCTTCCATCGGCGCCAATGCCCCTCGGACCACTGATCAGGTACGTCTTGTATTCGAAGAACGAATATACTTTTTAGAGACTGACGCTTCTCAGGGAATTTCGGGATTCAACAGAACTAATCCCAACACCGGTAGCGCTTTTGAGGAAAACCTCTCTGGCAAGCATAGCTCATCACTTGGTAACACCACTCCCCCCAAGAAAGGCCAACCATCCATGAAGGACGTTCTCCACCCACGCAGGGATGCCGATGGTGACGGAAAGGCCGGAATGTTTGATTAATTCACCACTCTGAAATCGGGTGCGGTAGTAGCTAGTTTTCGTTATTCCGCCATGCTTCTTAAGACGGATCAAACTTTGAAACAGATTGAACAATGCGAAGAGAAGCGCACCACGACAGGGGAGCAGGGAGGAGTAATATGTATCAACTAGGACATCTTGACCAGATAATTTCATATCGTATACTACTTGCAATGAAAACTATCAGCATACGACACTGATAAACACAACACACATGTTTTCTTTTGGTATCTCTTAGTATTTAATGAAACATTTGGCAAAATAAAACGCTGATGTGCGGTGCTGTCAAGCAAAACAAATAAAATTCCATGAGACTTCAAATGAGACAAGGTTAACAATCACGTTTTCTCGTCTGATCTCAAGCCGGAGTTTACTTTAGCTAAGGCACTTCAAGGCTATAGAACCTACAGAAGAAATGCCATGGGCCATTAATACAACGTCAAGGGGTACAGAGTAGTACCCTGAGTTAACCAGGGTTTTTATTTAAGGTGAGGCTACTCCCTGCCGACCTCAAAGCCAACTTCCTCTTTGGATACAAGGCTGCTTCTTACTCACAATGCCTGATTTGTTGCAGCATGACCTTATAAATATGGGGCGAATGAACCTGAAATCCCATATGCCTATTTATGGACTGGATAATAGGGCAGCTCGGCAATTTAGAGTGCTACACCGTTAATGCGCCGGTAACATGGCTGGAGCAACGGCTGTTCTCCTGCCTCCTTTACTAACCGCGCGGGGTATTAGCCCGAGGTAAGAATTGAGCAAGATGTTACTCTGTCAAGTTGGCTTGCTCTGAGGAGCACTCTTTCTGATTCCTCGTCGGGGTTTACTCTATCTGGTAGCCTCTCTCACCACGGGGTCCCACTTGTTGACCATGTGAGCCGATCAATCCGGTGATCTTCCTGGCGATCGATTTCCATGAACATTCGAATGTTGCGGGCGGCCTCATTGTAAGGCTCGGTTTATGGGCCATGATCCCCCCTGGACGGAGCCCTCGGCCAGTTGCGTTACAGAAGTCTTAGGGCCCCATTGCCCAGTACGTGGACAAATCCTTTTGCGAGGCTAATTCTGGTCAGCTTATGCTGAATTGGCGGGAACATCCCAACTGATCTTAGCTCGCATGGCGCCGAGTTGCAGGTTTGCCACGACAGGGATGCTTAACCAAGGCTTCGAGCAAATTAAGGAGTGGGAGCCCTACGCAATGACCAATGCCCTCCTCACCAGCATCCTCTGAGGCAGGGGTTATTTTGGGACTTCCGCATTCATGTCAATGTAGCATTGCTAAAATAGGCATCTAAGTGAACCGACTACGAATCCTCCCATGATCATGACGCTAGGATGTTGCAACGCACCAAGTAGAATGGAACGTAGTATATAACAGAGGGCCTACAGCCCAATACCAAGTAAATAGCTTCAGTAGGATAACCCTCTTCAGTCTCGAGAGCTGCAAGACACTATCCATCACCATGTGTTCGCTCTTTTCGATATTCGGGCGGCCCGCCGCCGATATGCTGCTTCTCAGCATGACCATCCTCTGCCTCCTCGCCGGCCAGACCTACGGCATCACCAAGATCCGGGACGGTGCTGATCCAACAGTTATGAAGGTTGGAGACAGCTGGTACTCCGCTGAGTCTGCCGGAGGTGGCATCTGGGTCCGCAAGGCTTCTTCCATCACCGGCCTCGGCGCTTCCGACGTTGAGCGCAAGGAAGTTTGGTCCGACCCCAACGGCCTCGGCGCCGTCTGGGCCCCCGAGATCACCACTGAGGACGGCAAGACATACATCTACTTCGCTGCCGGAGAGAGTGAGAAGCACCGCATGTATGTCATCAGCGCCTCCGACCCCATAGGCAGCTACAGCGGCGAGACGAAGCTAGCCCTCCCCGACGACCGATGGGCCATCGATGGCGTTTACTTCCGATTCAATAACAAGCGATGGTTCGTGTGGTCAGGATGGGCTGGCACGGAGAATATTGAGCAGAACCTGTACATTTGTGAGATGGAGAGTCCAACCAAGCCCATCGGTGCTCGATACATCATCTCTCAACCTCGCGAGTCATGGGAGCTTATTGGTAACGACAAACCTCTCATCAACGAAGGTCCCGAAGCCATCGTTGATCCCAACGGTCAGCTTCACATTGTATACTCAGCCAACGGCAGCTGGGGCAGCAAGTACTGTCTCGCTGATCTCCGTCTCAAGGCTGGTGGTGACCCCACCTACGTCTGGGATTGGTACAAGTCAAATGGTTGTCTCTTTGGCTCTGACCAGGCTGCTATGATGAACGGTTGGGATGCTACCCTCTACGTCAACGGCCCTGGTCACCACACCTTTGCTCTTACTGATGGTGATGTCGGCAAGAGCCCGGTCACCACCGAGAGGGTTCCGTTCGTCTTCCACGCTGTTCTCAAGGGAACTGACTACTCATGGGCCAACCGTGACTGGTTCCCCGGTACCTACGTCTGGTGGGGCAAGATCACTTACAGCCGAAAGAATGTCCCAGGAGACAATGAGAACACTGGATACAGTTTCAAGTTCTTTGAGTAATTACTTTGGATAGTAATATAAGTCGTCTTCAGAATTCCTCCCTCGTGTAGCCTCGCGTGACAGGTCATCTCGTATAGTTTTCACAATTTTCACATAGTATGAATACCCAACTTGCTCAGTGTACCGCTTCGTAATCCGGAACGGGAGCCTTGCTTATGCTATCATTTTATCTGGGCGGAAAGGGGGCTGGCTTCCGACGGTGATCATATTATCAGGACCAGGGCTGACTATATGAGCAGCAAAGCCATGACTCTAATTATTGAATGATGTGCGTCCCAATGTTGCCAGTGCTCCCTTACTACAGTCAAGACGTGGGGAGGTAACTATGGAGGCTGTCTCTGCAAAACGATCCTTCTTTTGGATTGTCTACAATCACTGCCTCAACTTCCACCCCGTTTGGGGGTGACATGTATGCGTTTGTCATTAGGATGACCAAGTTACTTCAATAGTCGTTTTGCGCAAAGTCAAATTTACGATGGCTTAGGTGAAATGCGAAAGGATATTCAGCTCATCTATCTGAAGTTCAGTTTTCGATAGGTAATTCTGGATACCATCTGATGCGCTGACTTGAAGGAGTTCCCCCTGACGAATCGATGGAGAAATTAAACATGGCAAAGCTACACTTCTCTTAGTTTTGGGGGAACATATAGAGGTAAGCCAAGCATATACATACTCGTCTCCATTAAGGTCATCTTCGAACCCGAAAAAGGCAGAGCCAAGATTTCTTATGATGTCTGTATCTGTGAAGTCCTGGCTTCCATGCACCGGGTCATGCGATAAGCACGTCGTCTGCGTCTCAGGGTTCGTTATCTTGGCTGTCTCTTGCCGCATCCGCCGATTTCTTATCTGAGTCTGTGCCTGAGAGAATAGCTGGTGTAAAAGTGATGCCCCAAAGTACGTCTTGCGTAACTCATTAGCGACAAGCATACACAAGTCGAGGCTGTGCTGTCCTAGTGTCGCCATGAGGGGTTTGCTCGATGTCGAATTCAGGAGATGAAACTGCATAGGTGGTAGGAGGGCAATGCAACTACAATTCGCCCCAATTAGCATTCAGTAGATTCGTAAATGCAAATCCGAAATATGGAACTCAGGTTTTGTACTGACATAATATTCTGACATTCCATGATCATGTCTGCAGTTATTAAGGCCTCCAAAGTCTTATTAAACGCGGCAGCAGCAGCCTGAGCTTTCCGCTCTATTGATGAGTACCATTCCCGAGACAGACCGGATGAATGTTTGTGGGACAAGCTCAGAAGATAAGGCCGATACAAGACAGTTAGAACCGATCTAGATTAATGGTCAGCGGAGATAGACCACAGGGGTGGGAGAAAAGTACTGTGAAAACAGCTCCAGATGGCAAGCATAATAGTAAATCATGAGATTCTCGGAGCTTATGAACCAACGCGCTTTCCCCTGTATTGTTGCAATTCTCTTCTCAACCTCCATTACATCGGCTGTACTCGGCCTAATCTGGCGAGCTCGGTAATGCGTTGATAATATATTAGATTGAACGATTGCAAGATTTATCAACTGGACAAAAAGCTCGGATAGGTCCGGCATGGCAGCCGGAAGGTACTTTTCGCGAAGGGTGTCCGGAACACCTGATGCTAACGCATCCAAATCGGCGGCGACTGGCAGTTGGGTATCACAATCGTCCAAGTTGATACGCACTGGCCTGCCCATACCGACAGAGAACCATACATCTTGATGGACGCATGACCACCAGATAAGTCGCCAAAGTCTCTGGCGTTGCTGAGGTATACGGCTTGCCGTGGAGTGAGGGTTTCGATGTAGTCCAGCTGTCTGGCTTAGACCAATAGCGACTCCGATCCAATGCCACGGGCCCGTCTTATCTTCTGTGTCAGAAGAGTAAAAGGTCATCAGCAGCACAGCCTGTATCAGCGTGGTTCTCTCTCTTTCATGTTGCATGTCATATAGAGCCTACGGCATGGCATCAGTTATGGTTCGGTATAGGTATGATGATGAGCTGAACTGTACCTTTGCCTTTCGATAGAATGAGCGCTTCATTTCTTTTCTACTTGTAAATCCGGCTGCCTGAACTACGTCCTCCTCCAAGAACTGGCATGCACGAAGTATGGTCAGTGTCATGTTACACCATAACATGTATGAACTTACATTACATGCTGCGAGGTACATGGACCATAAAAGATGAGTACTAATTTTCTCAAGTGTGCCGCTTTCATGGTTGGGAAGAAAGTCGTGGATGTCGACGATGGGAAAGAACGGGTGGACGTAATGGAAATATGCCCGAACCAAGCTCTCACGTATCCGAGCTTCAGGGAAGACGAATGCACCCTTGCGTTGCAAGTATTCTTGATCTTCCGGGTCGAGTGAGGCAAAAATACCATTTGGGAGAAGAAAGTGACCGCTCCTATCTACTCCTTCCGGCTCACAAATGTTTGCGACGGCGCAAATGCCTGTGGGATCACCTATTGTAGAGTTAAATTGTCAAATCCAATGTCCTCGGGGCATAGCACGAGGTCCTTTAGTGAGGTAGGCAACAAAGGGAAAACGGGAAGGGGTTCTCGTACCATACATGGGCGTATCAGCTGGAAGAGAGTCTGTGTTCGGCGCGTCGTCTTCTTCAAAATGGCTGAAATGCGACTGGAATGGGCGATAATTGCTGGAGCACGACGCATCTGGTCTTCCATTGCAGGTTGCTGAGGCCTCGGGATCAATGGCGTGGGTCCTGTCTGAGTCTCTCGATAAATCGTCTAGCTTCCTGGTACCGCTGTTCTCGGGGACGTTACGAAGGGAGTCACTGGTTACCAGACCTGCGTCTAAGTCTACTTCTAGTGGTGGAACAAGAGTAATGGAAAGGTCTGCTTGGTCATGGTTTCCAAAGAGATTCAATGACCCCGGAACCGCTTGTCGTGAAGGGGCAGCCGAGGCGGACGTCTTATTGTGTGCTTGTTGAGCAGACCCTACGACAGAGGGTCCAACTCCCCTTTGTGACTTGCGAACTCGAGGCTCACATTCTATATCATCCAATGAGCAGTTTGTGCAGGGCGGGCCAGACTTGGCCAGGCTGCACCTCACTTTCCGGTCATGGCAGGCCTTGCAAGCGCCTCCGAGACGTTTGCGTGATGCTTGCCGCTTTGCTACGGGAGAATTTTGCCTTGACATCGTGGAAACTCGGCGAAATTGGTTGCTTGTAGGTATGCAAGTGGTATCCAGTTAGGCCGCACACATCCCCTTCGCCTCGGCGATTCATATGTACGAAAAGTCGGGCCTGGGTAGAGTTGTCACATGTATTAGCTCTAATTTACTCCAGCCCGGGGCTCCAGCAGTCTTTGCCGAGGCAGTAATGTCACTTATTCCTGCTTCCAAGCGACCCACACTGCCCGACTGCCGAGGAACTCAGGCAAGTGTAACAACACATTACGAAGTTGCGGAATGAAAGACAGGATAGCTTAATTCCTGAAGAATTACAAGTACCACGCAAATGTGAACCGCAACGCAATCGATGTAACTGATGGATGTGGATCCAGATGATTAAAGTAGTTTTTCTTGGTGATATGTGCTCCTGTATGTATTAACAAACGAAGTACTGAAGTCTCAGAACATCTTATTCTTGATTGTGTTTGCATGGCAATATTGACTGGCGCAATCCTAAACTAAGACATAAGTCTCTTTGATGAAGCTATGACGCTGCATGTTGTCGGAATCAGTGCTACCGAGTACAGCAAAAACCAAAGCGATGCAAATCTTTCTAGTAGGAATTTATGATGAGAGAAATCCTCTACAGCTTTTCAGAGACCGGACTCTGGATCTCCAAGTCTCGGTGTGGTATGTCCAAATACTCCCACATGTAGTGAAACCTATCACTTCCAAAGAACGGTTCGGCATTCCCCTTGCCATCGTGCACCCAAAACCACGGGCATCCAAACGCGCTAAGGTCTTCGACAGCATGCTTGGTCACGTCATTCAAGGCTTGCTTGATCTCTGTTGTTTGTGCAGCGTTCAGGATCTCCTCCGCCTCTTGTTTATTGAACACCTTAAGGAGCGCACTCAGCATGTGTTCCTGTTTTGCCAAGTCGAGGTGCTCAAGCCACAGTGACTCAAAGCATGACTGGAACAGATCTTCGAGTTTCTCCGGGCGCTTCATCTTGAGATATGTAAGGCACCGTTGAGGCTAAGTTTTAGTTGAAGTAGTACGTTAGATCACGAATCTTGCTTCTGCAGGAGGAGTGTTTGTTTGCTTACCAGTAATGAGAGGATCGGGAAAAAGTCCGGAGTCTCGAAGTTGAGTTTGAAATACTTTTGGGCTCGCCTATTGTCATACATAGAATAGCTCGCCTTGGCCGGAAGAGTCCATGGCGGCTTATTTCCTATTTAATCTGTTATCAATAGCAGGTCTCCCGGGAAGATTGCATGCACATTACCGCTGCCGACGTTAATCCCACCCAAAAATACGGGAATGAATCTAGATGATTAGTTCACACGAAATAGTTGATGATTGTGTTTTCCTCGTCTGCACCTACTCGACTTCCACGCCTTGGGCTCTAAGTGCGCGTCTATTCTCGCGAAGATAGGAAAACGCGTAGAAGCTATAAGGTGAAACTAGAATGGCGTAAGCTCCCAAAGTGACGGTCAAGGTTGAGTTGGGCAAATTACCGCAATCAAGATACGCTTCAATCTTCCTGTCCTTCGAAGGCATGATTGCTGACGTTATGGGGACGTTGGGGCTGCTAAAATCGGCTCTGAGCTTATTATAATGGTCCGTCAGAGGAATTTCACCAGGTGTACAAATGCGTCTCACTTGAAATCAGTATCTGTGGACATTATGATGTAGAAGAATGGTTCGTATAAGACTAGGTATAGAAGTTCCTCGGCGATATAATTTCCTCGGCGATGTAGTGGTAAATACCCCGCAACTAAGAGGACCTCGGCCTTCCAGCTCCACGGAAGTATTATCAATGAGCCCGACCTTGAAGTAAAGAAGTAAAGAGTTAAAAAGGGAGGGGGGAAATGAACTTATTCCACTGATTCTCACCCCTACAACCTAACTAAATTAACACCTTACAGAACCAAGGACGACCAGGGAAGTTCTGAAATGTCTGAGCAATTGAATCCTGTCGCCTTGGTCGTTGGCGCATCTCGGGGCATCGGCCGCCAAGTTGCCATTGACCTGGCCAAAAATGGGTACAAAGGTACGGCACGCAGCTGGACTTCGAGAATCCTGAACTAACGTGTTTGCCAGTTGTTGTGGCGGCCAAAACTGTCAGCATTGGAAATGAAACGTCTCCTTTCCCACCTGATCCCAATTCTAAACAGTCAACTATTACAACTGTGACCCGCGAGATCCGTGAAGCTGGTGGAGAGGCAACGGCAATCCAGGTTGATACAAGAAGCCCCGAGAGCATCACGAACATGGTTGACTCTACGGTGAGAACATACGGATCACTAGATGTGTTGATCTATAACCCAGGTGCCATTTGGTGGTCCTCGGTTGAGAAGACACCCCTAAAGCGCTTCCAGCTCCTTTCGAGTGTGAACATGGAAGGCTTGTACGCTACTATCCAGGCTGCGTTTCCGTATTTTGAGCGCGGTGGCTGGAAGTCCCGGGTCATAGTAGTGAGCCCTCCTATTTACTCTCGCTTCTTCAGAGGAAAGACGGCGTATGCGATGGGGAAAGTTGCAATGTCTGTACTTACCAAAGGGTTGGCTGTGGATTGGAAGAGAGAAGGGAAGAATGATATGGCCATCACCAGCATTTGGCCTGCTGTGGTATGTTGTGCCATACTCCTCAGAGTCTGTTAACGACACTGACGCAAGCAGGCGATTCAATCAGCGGCGACACCTGATCCGAGGATGCTGTCGGATTTGAGAAAACCGGTCCGTCTATTTATTGATTCCGCCACTTACTTCAAGGAGCTAACGAACGGCCAGACAATCTTCTCGGACGCGATCCTAGAGTTGCTAAAGGCGCCTCCGGAGCAGATCAACGGATGTCTCGAGCTTGATGAAGATTTCCTACGCAAAAGAGGAGTAACCGACTTCTCCAAGTACAGCGTGGTGCCTGGCACAAACCCGCGACGAATGCTCCCAGCTACCCTTCCGGATTTGACAGTGCCGGAAGAAGAGGAGGAGGGGATACGGATTGATAGCGCGAAGATGAAGTCCAGCCTGTAGATGCACGATCCGGGAAGGAACCGATATTTTTTTTTCCCTCAATATTCATACAGTTAAGTACTTATTATATCACAGTGAGGCATTAGTATGAATTGTAGTCAAGAGGATGTATTGCTGAACATAAGCATTTAAAATCATTCACAAGTTCCAGGGCTAGGAAAACATCAATGAAGCCTTCTGTGTGCCTTTTTCTATAATGGGTTAAAAGTGTCTGAGAAATGAAGAACTTGTTATCAGAATACGAACGATCAGGTTCATGAGCTGTGCCAGGGAGAGCAAGAGAGGTAAGTAGTTGCTTGTATATTATGCCAAAATGTACTATTAAACACTAGGTATTGTTTTTGGGATCGCCTTCATACACGCAGTGCAATGTCGATGTGATGCCATTCTTCTAAACCATTCCCGCATCTCCCCTGCCTCCCTTGGGGCGCACGCTCATCTCCACCGGTCTCGAATTACGCTGGTGAGCAAACTTGCCATCCATGCCCAGCTTCTTCTCAGTGAACCACTTCCGAACCCAGATCAATCCATACACGACGCAGAAGATGATGAGAATGGCAGCGAGGATTCCGAAAGCGTAGGCGGCGACCCTCCCGTGGCCATTAGCCGGGTCCAGGAACGAGTACACGTAGAAGCCTTGCGTGGCGTAGGTGAGATAGGCGAGGCCGAGATAGGCGGCAAGCATGATCAAGACCCAAAGCAGGTGGATCCAGAGCATCGGCTCGGTTCTCGGGATGAAAATCTCGAAGAGGGCGAAGGCGCTGTTGAGCCCGTGCTGGGTGACGTTGGACCATGCCATGATCTCGGTATCGAACCAGGGGCCGCGGAAGAGCACGACCCAGTAGACGATGGTGACGAGGAAGGGATAGGTGACAATCGTCGTGTAGAAGAGCGAGTGAAGGGCCTGGAGGAAACGCGGGAAGGACTCAAGAGGAGAGCGTCCGCGGAGGGCATAGAAGAATGTGTGGAAGGCGGCGACAAGGAAGTAGCACGCGATACCCCAGAAGGTCAGGATGGTGAAGTAGGAGAAGGACTGCTTTGCTTGCGTGCAGCCATCGCCATCATGCGTACACGTGTATCCAATGAGGAACAAACGGGTCACCAAGGCGTATATTCCCTGTTCATGGGGTTAGCGACGAACTCATCAGGGGCCTGGACGCGGGAGAAAACAGGCACGTGAACGGTTTCCACTTACGATGAGGAAGCGGCAGGCAAAGAGCAGCCAAGGACTCAGCAGCCACGACGTCTCGAACCGGTGAGACGGGTCCCAGAGACCTGTGCCCAAGGCGAACGGGTTGCCGCAGGACCGCATCGTTGGTGATGGCGACACGGGGGAGGTTTGGAAGGAGGAAACACGGCTGCTGGGAGGGAAATTTGAGGCGTCGTCAGCGCAATGTAACAATTCTGGATGGAGCCAACCGAGGAATCACCGACCAGCCAAATTGAGCGAAGCTTCAGCCCCTTGAATGTTATCCTTCCGCTAATTTGCGCTGGGTTGAAACCTTGACTCTGGCAGGCAGCGAGCGACGCCCCGATGATGCCTCAGAGAAGCGGCCGCAAGATCTGACGACCAGGAGAGAGAACCTGGAGAGAAAGAGAGATCATGGGAAATTCTGTGCATTTTATCCCATACGGAGCTAATAATAACAAAGGAGCCCGAAACTCCGCCTGACAACCCGCCGCGCCAATCAACAGCCCCAGCAAGAGCCAACTACCTGGTCAAGCGCAATCTTACGGGCAGGGCCTATTCCCCAAAAGGCATCAGTAACAGTAATACCGCCTAAACGGCATTTCTTACCCTACATCTTGTGTCTGATGGTCACGCTTACGCCAAAGTCGAGCTCAGCTTGAAGGCCTTCTTTCAATAGTCCGTGAATACGTGGCATACAACCATTCAGCCACTGTAACCCAAAGCAAGTCCTAGTTTTGCACCAAAATGTGTTGAGAAGGAAGGCTAAGACTGATCATGTGACGGCACACGGTAAAAGAAATCAATCAACCTGTCGGCAGCTTATTAAAATCTTACATAACACAGTCTAGAAGTAAGACGAGCGTGCCACCTCATTGAAAGTATAAGGTTATATGATCATATGGCCCAGAAAAGGGTCCCTTAAAGCAGTTTAGGCTATCCCATACTACAAATATAATTATATAGTTCCAAGAACCTTCTGCTCCCCATGACTTGCCGTTTACATGTGGCGGCCTGAGCATCAGTCTTTAATTCAATTAAAAAATCTTGTTTAATCAATATCAGAGCTTGGACAAATAAAAGTAGTATGTCCCGGCCTTTTTTGGAAGGAGTTTGCTGTCCATGGCCCCGATCACAACACCATCCTTAACATGCCGAAACGAGTCAATAATAGGCAAATTATCATACACCATCGCCGTCGAAACCACGCCGCGGAACTTGACCTCTCGTAGCTACACGCTCCCACATTAGTTTGAGGCATTCTAACTCATGATTCTCCGGATAAGGCTGCAGACTCACCCGAGCACGTCCGTAATTCTCAGCCCACACCCGTTCCCCGTTCTCGCCATACACGACCATCGGATCAACGTCCTCCGCCGAGCGGAAGTCCTTGCCAGCCCACTTGACCTCGCCGAGCTTCTTGTGAGCCGGATGGCCGGTGTCGAAGCTGCCGCCGACCCATGACCCGGTGAGCTGGTCTGGCGTGACGGGCTTGGCTTCGTCAAAGACCTCTGCGACTTTGTTGTCGTCGACTTGACCGGTCTGGTTCTTCAATGCATTAAACTTTTCTTCGGTCCTGTATGAATATTCTGTTAATGAATTTTCATTTACAGTATATGGGCAGAGGTCAAGATTTACGTTTGCCCCATGGTGCTGCTGTGCGAGTGCGGAATATTTGTAGTGAGGAGATCAAGAAATGCAATTGAGACGGATCAGATGTTTATCTAGGTGGGTGGGAATGTGATTTAGTAAAGGGTTAAAATACATGTCTCAAATCCGGCCAACATTCTTTCATACATGTGCTGGTTGCACCCGGTCTCTACTTGCTGTGCGAGATCCCGAAGTTTATGTACCCCGCTCCAAGACTATTCCGCGGGCTCGGATATCTGCGTTAGCTGCATGAACGAGTAGATTTCCTTAACGAGTGTATTCAATGGTGGCCCGCAGTGTTACAGGACAGGGATATGGTTGCATTGGGCCTCGGCATCTTGGTCTGTCATTCCCCAGATGAGCCTTGGAAGGCAATTCTTATTCGTCGAGTCGGAATCGGGGTATTTCCAACTGGAATGTCTACGTAATATATTTTCTGTGCCACAGTCGCCAAAACTTGATAAACCATCCATCATCTCCATCTGTCCGGAGCTTGAGGAGAGCTCAATGTCACCGAGATAATGGCGGCTCCCCACCCGCACAAGACAGGAAACCGGGCGGCCGTGTACTCGGAGCCTGGTACTTTAAAGACAGAGATTAAAGACCTCCCTATTCCTAACCTGGGGCCGGGGGAGGTACTTATTCGATTGTTTGTTCCACGATGAGCTTCTTGGGTATCGTGTCAATGGCTAACGTGCACGAGACACTATTCTGGTGTCTGCCACACAGATATCGCCTTCTGCCTAAATGAATTTCCGAACCAAGTGGTGCCTACAAAGAGGGGTGAGTTAAAGGAACAAATAACGAGTATGTGCGAAATTGACAAAAAACCTTAGGTCAGGTCGGAGGTCATGAAGGTAAGCCATCCTCCACAGTGTAGAATTCGGGTAGTTTCCCAACCTAACTCTAGACTGGAGGAATCGGTGAGGTCGTTGCGCTCGGCGAGGGAGTTCAATCGATTTCAGTAGGCTCCAAAGTAGGAATTCAAATCGCCGGAGATGCATGCCTCAGTTGTGGTAAGATGCTCTCACTCACCCCATGCCATGATTTGCGACTGGCTCACCAGTGATATATTTATAGATGCGTGCCTCGTTGGCGGAGAAACTTCATGTTCAAGTTTGAAGATCACGGGGTATTTTACTCCCGGCACGTTCCAACAATACAAGATCGCTCCCGCCAGATACGTGATGCCTATTCCGGACGGTTTGGACATGGCCGCTGCAGCGCCTCTCATGTGCGCTGGCGTGACCGTCTACACGGCTCTTAAGAATTCGGAGATTCGACCTGGCGATTGGGTCGTTGTCTCTGGAGCTGGGGGCGGTCTTGGCCATTTGGGTATCCAGTATGCCAAGGCGATGGGAGGGAAGGTGATTGGAATTGACCACGGTTCCAAGGAACAGTTCTGTAGAGATCTGGGCGCCGACGAGTTTCTTGACTTCACCCAGTTTCAGAGCAATGCCACGCTTGCACGTCGGATCAAGAAGCTGACGGGCGGAGGAGCAAAGGTCGCGCTCGTATGTAGCGCCAAGAGCTACCCACAAGCATTGTCCTGGCTGGGCCTTCGAGGCACCATCGCGTGCATTGCCTTGCCAGAGAAGCCGGGCTCGTTTGTGCCTGATGTTGGGACACTGATCCTGCAAGAGCTGAGGATCATCGGTGAGTTGTGCGTAACTGAAGCTGGCTGTCTGCCTTGATCTGACACATGGACATCAAATATTAGGCGCCAAGTCGGGCAACCGGCTGGACATGAAGGAATGTCTCGAATTCGCAGCGCAAGGCAAGGTGAAGCCCGTCTACCAGCTGCGTAGCTTAGACGATCTTACAAAGGTGAGAACAGCTTTTTGATTGAACAGAATAACTATCGCTAATATAGACGTGAAAGACGTTCCAAGAAATGGAATCCGGCGTGATCCAAGGTAGAGTCGTGATTGATCTCAAGCCCAAACTGTAGCATCTCTTCTGCTTTCAATTCATTCCATCACAGGCCCAGGTAGACAAGGCCAAGACCAATGGTTGCAGGAACCATTTGCACGTAAATGATGCGCTTTCCGACAGTGGCACCGCCGTAGGCACCGGCGACGAAGACGAGACTGAGGAAGAAGAGGCGGATCTGGGTCGCGAACTCGGGGACGGGGTGGACGAGGCCCCAGATCAATCCGGCGGACAGGAAGCCGTTGTAGAGGCCCATGTTGGCGGCGAGGGCCTTGGACTGCTCGGCGAACTCGGCCGTCAGCTTGAAGGACTTGCGGCCGCGCGGCGTGGTCCAGAGGAACATTTCGAGGACGAGGATGTAGCCGTGGAGGGCGGCGATGCTGCCGGTGGCGAGGGTAGAGAGGACGCCCATATTGGCTGGAGAGTGAAGAGTAGAGAATGAGGGATCCGTCGCGTGTCAGTTTGAGGATTTGGTCTTCAATTGGCGTTTGTTGTGTCTCAGGCCTGGGCTGTTATAATTTTTATTTGCGCGTGAGCGGCGTGTCGGATGAGCGATGGAAGCTTGACCAACGACGGCGCTGTGATTATTTATTTAGCTTGATCAGCTGAAACAGAGGAACAAAGCTGACAGCGACAGAGGATTATTTATTGCCCAATTGCAGCTTTACGGCGCGCCCGAAGCCCCAATGGCCTCAAGCAGCAAAGTGCACCGCGTTCCCCCACATTTGTCCGCATTCTCGGGCCATTTCATAATCAGTCCGACTCGCTGTTTGCGGCAGCATCAGGGGCCGCATCGACTCAGCCCGACGCAATCTCCGTCCTGTTCCACTGCCCCCGAAGAAACAAGGAAGATGAGGCGCGTACCTGCAGACCAGGGAATTGTTTGTGGTGGGCCGCTTAAAGGCTTTGACGTGCATCTGACAGCTTGTGGCGGATCTTCAGCCGCTCCACCATCAAAAGGGCATGGAGATGGAGGGATATGCTTAATCAAGTGCTCGTTATTGGTCTAGATCGTGATCCTCGGCGCTGAAGCCTTCCACTAGCCCCGATGAGGCAGAGAAGACTGTGGGGGAAATGGCGGGCATGGGGAGCATTAGGATGTGAAAGTAGATTTGTGATTACAATTTACAGCCTTGTATTTGAATGGGGTTTCCAAGTGGACAGATATGAGTGTATATAGGGCCATTCGCTACGACTTGTTTCGAAATTGTTTCAATATTCTCCCTTCTTGATCGAAGAGCCAAGCTCTAAGTTCTTCAGACGATTTGAAATTCGGTGGACCTTTTCTGATAATAGCTAAAATCTCAGAGCAGTGTATGAGGACGCGAGCGACGGTATTAAGATATTTAGCTATCGATGGTGATTGATATCACACGATGGTGAGTTACTTGGTATCTCTTGCGTCATTTCTGTCGTTTGTTCAGAATTTCCGATACCTTACCATGCTGGTATATGCATGCTCGATCAGTCTCGGTGCCCTGCCTCGGGGTGACGGAGATCTGAAAGATATGGCCCGGCCTGGTTTAGAGTGGAATGAAAATCCCACTGAACTGGGAGCGAGTATGTTCGGACACATGCCAAACCCCGGGTTGAGCCCTACTATCCCCTATCTGTTCATATTTTCCCCAAGTCCATTGACAAAGGATGTCACTGTCGCCTCTGCTCACCCTCCAGGTCATCAATCTGCATGCGCATGTTACCCGATGACGTCGGGGTTGGCACCAGGCCGAGGCAGTTGGAGATTCCTGTTGGCCGGACCGAGGCACCCCTGTTACGAGCTGGCTGCAAGATGCCCAGCGTAGCACCCAAGTCTCACGGTTCGCAAAGAATTCCCCGCGATTCGCATATTCCTAGGGTGCAATAGCAATCCTCGATTGGCCGACTGATCTTCTGAGTATGTACTCACCTGGGATTGGGACAGGAAAGGTGGTGCGGATTAGATTGATAGCTGATACCTTCCCCGCGTTTCTGGGTGTGTATGATGTACTGGCTGCCCGTTAAGACGCCTTTATGGCTCCAATACCCGAATGTGAAGATCAACAGCACTTGTCGGTTTCCCCGCATTTATATCGTCGTTAAGTCCATCTTCATCCCGAAGCCTCTGCGAGCCCTCCCTAGTGATCGAACACAGCTGTAAAAAAGAAGTGACAAGATGAGTGTCGAGACCTTTGCAAATATTGGCGTCGCCCTGGACTTTGGGTTTTCAAACTGTGCCAAACCGGGACCCAGACTGAAGCGAAGGAGATCCCCGAGAGCGTGTTTGGTTTGTCGCAGCAGGAAAGTCCGCTGTGATGTCCTCCAGAAGAGTCGCCCATGCACGAATTGTACTCTTGATGGAAAGGTTTGCATTGTTCCCAGTAAGTCTGTCCACGCGACCAAAACCAATTATGAGCCATATTGACGGGCTTTCAGACGGAAGACGAGGGAAAATGACGTGCGGGAATGGTGTAGACCAGCCTTCTCTGCAACATACGGAAGAGGCGACCGATCCCAATAACACCAGTGACCATTTCGAGCGTGGTGTGGCCAGCGACCGGGATTTATCGATGGGACAACACGAGTTCTCTTTCGCCGACGAAATCGATGTTGATATAGGGAACGCGCTAGACGACAACGGGCAGGCTCATGACTCCGATGACTGGCCACAGGACACGCTTTGTGAGACTCAACCGAATGACAAAGTGGTTGAATCTCCATTAAAAGAGCTTTGGAGTCACTCAAAAGGTACGACTCCCAGCTAAGCTTGATTCTAAAGTACTAAGGCTTCTAGAAAACCACACAGAGCTTCGAAATGACGCCGCACCCGAGGAGTTCCTAGCAATCACGTCGCCTGGATCTAATGCCATGGAACTTTTTGCGGAAAGAGAAGTCAGCTATACAAGGTACCCCTTCATTATATTGAATAACCTACGGAGCCTTGGACCAGAAGATGTAGCGTACTTGGCCTCCCAAGACTGCCTTGTCATTCCGACAGGAGAAACCCTGGATCATTTCTTGGAAATGTACTTTCTGCATGTGCACCCTCTCCTCCCAATGATCAATGAGGGCAATTTCTGGAAGTTATACTGTCATGGACCATGCGAAGAAACCGACAAGGTCCCGTTGGTACTATTCCAGGCTATTCTATTTGCTGCTAGTAGCGTAAGTCTCAGATGTTGTGCCAGTAAACGTAGGGCTGACATCAATAGTTTGTATCGGAAGACGTTGTCAAACACCTCGGGTTTCCGCACACTCGAGCAGCAAGGGCAGCTTTCTACAAAAGAGCAAAGGTATGCCGCATTTTGCCCGGGATCCCTTTACTCAAATATACTCATTCACTTCTCGCTAGCTCTTATACAACTTGGAAACCGAGTCTTCACTGGTTCCACTGGCACAAACAGCTCTTCTGTTGTCCTTCTGGGCTCCCGATCCCTTGGGCGGGCAAGGTGGCTTATCGGATTGTACGAAGAATTCGACCGAGGCCTGGCTGGTTCTCGCGATCCACGATGCCAGGAATTCAGGTGCCCATCTCCAAACGAATATACCTCCTTCAGATCCCGTTGGAAACGACAGCACGGAGCAAAAACACCAAAATGCTCTGCGGAGATTGTGGTGGTGTTGTCTGATCCGCGACCGCATCCTTGCCCTCAACTTGCGGCGTAATATCCAAATCAAGCGGGCATTCTATGATCCTGATACTCTTTACCACGATTTGAGTGATGAGATCCACCAGTCGAGGGTCTACAATGCCGACACCAAACGCCGCACGATCCAAGTCCTCGTACAACTTGCGCGACTAGCGACGACACTTACGGACGTGATTCCACTCATCTACCCATCAGACGACGAGCCGAGGTACAATACTGAAGCAGGCAAGGGAAGTCCTGGGAAAAAGTGCAAGGAGTTGCTTGATTCGTGGTACAAGTCGGCTTCTTCAGAGCTCTCAAGTCTCGCCGGTGGTGCAGACAACCTCAATCCCGTGATATTGTACACAAATTTCACATACATCTACTATTAGTAAGTTCTTTCGTCCTTCAAGTACGCGTCTACGGAGGCAATCTTTGAATCTTAACTGACTAAACCGTTCCCAAGCTCGGCCAAAATCGCAGTTTGCCACCACGAGGCTTTGCAGCTGGCACTCGCCAACGCCTCAGCGATGCTAGATTCAATAGCTTTTGCTACCATATGTGATAATCAACAACAACTTCGGGAAGCCATCTGTGGAGTCAGTGATTGTCTGGAACGTCTGATTCAACTGGGCCTCGTTCGCTGGCTGCCAGTTGTAACGTAAGCCCCCCGCATGAAATGGGGGTAATTCGCGACTAACATACATGTATTACAGACTCGCTTGCCTCGCCCTACCTCTGATGTTGCAGATTCTTGATGTCAAGATATCGTCTATGAACCGAAACTCGGTTTCAATTAAGGCCTCGAAAACCCAAACAACAGTAAAGCAGCGACGGCTTACAGTTTTAATCGAGGCCGTACGTGTATACCACCCAAGATACGCCACCGTCGACTATATTTGCAAAACGATCCGACATGTGACGAACCTCGCGAGATTGGACGTCATGTCAAATGTGGGTGTTGATACGGGAATGGGTCAGCCCATTATCTCCGACTGGACGGACTTTTTGATCCTATCACCGGGCCATTACTTGCAACTGTCAAATGCGCTGGACTTTAGTCTTAAGAAGACCTGCCTGGCCCGAGCAGATGATATTTCATCTGACCTGAAATTACTACTCGGCACAGGCACGAAGCTTCCCTGGCCTCAAGAGCACTCACTGACATACCAGCGACTTTCTCCACCGAGCGCATTTGCTATCCCAGGCCACTCCTGGGATATGGAGTCCAATGAAGGGTCAAGCTCATTGAGTGTTCCTTCGCAATCGAACGTCATGGAGGAATCGAATCCAGACGAGACCTTTCAGGTTTCGACAAGCGTGACAGATCGAGAAACGTTTTCGTGGCCAGCACCTGAACGATCCGGCTGTGAGTTGCCGCCTTCGGCCGCCATCGAACTTGGTCTTGATGGGATGGACTTCGGAGGGTTTCCAGTACTGGGCCTGGGTCCAATGTGAGTTATGCGACCTTTATATAATCTGAGGATCATACTTTGCGGGGTGGGACAACTTCTGTGTCGGAGGCTCTTTGGCTTGCTTCGTATAAAGTGCGGGAAAATATATCTACTTAAATAGCTAATTAAGATACTCAACCGGTCACTTAAATTTCATTCTTCTATACGATCCTTTGTAAACGATTTGTTGATTTTCCTTTCCATCTTCGCTTTTCGATCACTATGAGTTGCACCGGCTAAAATTTCCCAAATTGGTTAAGTCAAGAGATGGCGATGGAGGTTAAGAACGGATTGCTTATCCCGGACGAGTAGCATATTGCGAAATGGCCTGATACTTGCATTGAGATTCTTATCTGCCGTTGGAAGAGGGCCAGTTTCTTTTTCGGTGTTTGAGTGTTTGCTCTTCAAGAACAATAAAACAATGCCTTACTCTTGAACTGCCGTTAGCTTTTCGTTTGTACTACATCTTCGATTTACTTCAATTTATGGAAACGGCTGCATAATGTCGGAGATTGTATTCAAATGGCCGGAGAACTTGGCAATAGAGTTCTACCTCGCTGTGTTTATCACTGCTAGCATATTTGCTTACTGTCTATATATACGCAACCCGTTCTCCTTATCAGCATTATCCCATTTCGAACAGAAGCGAGGGTTGAAAGACTATCAAAAGGTTTACAACGAGATTGCGAGGAGGTTGGAGGAAAATCTTGACTACGACGATGGCTCCTACGGCCCTATTTTGGTTCGATTAGCCTGGCACGCAAGCGGAACATATGACGCGAGAACTCATAGTGGAGGTAGTAACGGTGCTACTATGCGATTCCACCCAGAGTGCAGCCATGGAGCTAACAGTGGTCTAATGATTGCCCAGAAGTTTCTTGAGGACGTCAAAGGTATTCAATCGGGAACAATGTACCGTGTGCCTTTTTCACGGCCCCAGCTAATATATTTTCTACAGTGAAATTCTCATGGATCACATACGCCGACTTGTGGATCCTCGGTGGCATCGCTGCTATACAAGAGATGAAGGGCCCAATCATCCCATGGCGGCCGGGGCGTTTAGACAGAGATGCGAGCCACTGCCCCCCTGACGGACGGCTTCCTGATGCAACTAGAGGATCTGACCACCTAAGAGATATTTTCTATCGCATGGGGTTCAACGACCAAGAGATCGTGGCACTCTGCGGCGCTCATAGTCTTGGCCGGTGCCATGCAGACCGTCTGGGCTTCGAGGGTGCATGGACATACTCTCCTACGACATTCACTAATCAATATTACGATATGCTTCTGGGGGATGAATGGGTCCAGCGGAAGTGGGATGGGCCTCGCCAATTTCAAGGTTCAATGAGCCAGACCCTTATGATGCTCCCAAGTGACATGGCTCTCATTGAGGACAAGGCGATGAGGACATGGGTTGAAAAGTATGCTGAGGACACTGAACTCTTTTTCAGCCATTTCCGCGAAGCAGTTACGAAGCTATTTGAATTCGGTGTGCCGTTTGCCGAGGGCATTGATAGGTGGAGCTTTCAACCTCTCTGGCAGTCAGCTTAATGCAGTGTGTTGAGGCCTTCTGATCCCTCTTCGCCTTTGCTTTCAAGTTTATCTCCGTTTAACTCTATCCTTCTAGTATCGATAGCTGTACTGTTGAAATTTAGCATTGCATGATGTTACCAATGAAATCCGTTCGAATGGCTCTCGAATATTCTCACCGCGACTCCATGCAACTGCACGACGAACTGGCCGAAGTCGCCGAGTTGCACGTGGGCCACTCCTTGAATGTAACCGGAAAGGGGGAACATACTGTCAAAATTTCCGAGCAATCATTTGCGCTTGAACTTGGGTTTTGAGAATTTGAATTCGTATTTTTCCCTCTTTCAAAAGACTGCTTTTAGAGAGCCAAATTCCCGTTTCTATTGATGCCTGTAAGAGTGGTTCAGGCTCATCAGAGTTCCTTCTGCCGTTTTAGACCTTCCCCAGCCATCCTCTCCCAGTCTTACGCATCCTGACAATCTTGGATGCAAGTAAGAAAGCGGAGCCCAATATCAGAGATGCGCCTGCGAAGCCTTGTGCTCCCTTGTAGTTGCCCGACTTGTCAATTATGCTCCCAGCAATTGGCGACCCAGTCAGAACCGCGAACGAGACAACTGTGAAGACCATCCCGGTTCTCACCCCAATCTTACTCATATCGTCGCTCAGAAGAGACAGAGCGGCCGGAAAGAGACTTTGAATTCCACCGGCGAAGAATCCATAGAACACAGACCATGCATATAATCCACCAGATGATGTGACCGACATCCAGCAGAAGACGAGAATAGCGGTGGCGGAAGATACCGGTATCAGCATGTTAATTGCGCCGGTACGATCGGCAAGATAATTTGGTATGATTCGGCCGAAAAATCCCACAGCATTTGTGATCAGCAGCAGGTTGAGGGAGTCCTCGAACTGGAAGGGTGCCTGAAGCGCGTTACGAGCGAAAGAGGCAAGATAGAAAAATCCGAAATAGACACCCCAGAATATCTGAAAATGTATGATCAATTTTAGTTCCGTTAAATCAAAATTGAGATTAGAAACTTACCAAAAATGCCCCCAACGCATAGAAGGTATACTCCATTTCCTTGAACGCCTTGATGTCGATGAGTGGACCACCTTTGCGTGGCTTGACCCTCGGCTTGCTAAGGACGTTGGCCACAAATAAAAGAAACAGCTGTACCAGGGCGATTGCGCGCATGGTCCATGGAAATCCAATTTTTGGGAGCAGCTGGCGGGCCATAAGTGGGAACACAATTCCTCCCGTGACAGAACCGCAAGCACCAATTCCCACGGCAATCGACCTCTTCTTGAGGAAGTAGGTCGCGGTTATGGTTAAGGAAGGGCAGAATAGGAAGCCGTTCGCAATACCTACGGACAGACCTTGAGCAAGCATGAGCTGCCAATACGTAGAACAAAACGATATCGACACGCTTCCCAGGATTTGGAAAATGCTGCCTATTACGAAAACAGTTCTGAAGTACCCAGCATCTGTGAGTCGGCCAGTGATGCTGGCGCAGAAGAACATGAGGAATATTGGTAGCGTTCCAATGAAGGAGATGTCTGATGCTGTTCGGTCTGGAAGGAGCGTCATGTAGTATGTCTGGAAAGTCCCAAAGCTGTTGGCCATGCCCCAGCTGTTGCATCCCACAGCATGAAGAGCAATACCTGTTCGAGAAATCAGTCGGGCGAAGCCCACGGCCGGCCGTTGAAACTTACATTGGGACCAAGCTATCCACCCGCCATCCGGTGGTGGATCGTCAAGATTCGGATTACTCTCACCATTGTCTACCTCTGGATTGGATTTCAGAGACGAGACGGCCCCAGATTCCGACGACGATGAATGACCATGTTTCTCTGTGCCGTTTTCAAGTGTGGCTTTTGATCCAATACTCTCAAAGTCTGAGGCACTTTGCTCGACATTTGATAGCTGGCTTGTTCTTTCCATGGTAGGTATAATTGGAAACAGTTGCCATGAAAGCTAGAATCGAGAGAGATGGCGAGCAAACTAGCAAAAGTCGGGGACCTGAATAAGACCAGGATAACAGAATCAAATACACGAGAGCGACTTGCCTTTATATACCCCCGCAACTAGTCACATTACTACGTATCCGCTACGGGCTGTTGCCATGTTACACTACTCATTTCTCACCATCTCCATATCTAGGCGTCTTCGGAGTGCCGAGTCTGACGATGTGAAAAATTAATGCCAGGCTGTCTCGTTACTAATAAAAAGGGCGAAGGGGCGCTAGTCGTGAGCGAAAAGTCAATACGCCGATTTCGCCGAGATGGAACCCACAGTTGTCCTAATTCTCCGACAGACTTGCTTTTTGCAACCTTCATTCCTACCATTACACATTCCTTCAATTCAGAACACGCCGTGTGCCAAGTGGCCCAAAACAACAATGTCCGTGAGGCTTGCTGCTTGCGAGCCCTGCCGGCTTTCTAAGCTTGCCTGCAACCACGAGCGCCCTGTTTGCTCCAGGTGTAGCTTCCGTGGGCAAGGTAGGAGTTGTACGTACAGAGACCGGCCGTTCAAGCGCAGGGAGCGAAGAAATGGGACGACTCCTGGGTACAATTAACAAAGTCTCTTACTGTAAAGTTGACATGGTTCACTAATTTGGGTTGTTAGCGTGGGCAGAGCTTCACCGCAGAGCCCGATATCCCCCCCTGAGCAACTCCTCACGGCGCCGAGGCCTCATCATTATCCGAATCCTGGGTACCTCGGGCATTCTAGCCATTCGGCAATCTTCAACCAAGTGAATGCAACCGATACGTCTCCCGGTGGCGATCCTGGTATTCTCCCGTTAGAGGTGGAGGCCCCTCTCGGGACGGATGATGTCTTCAAGGATCAGGATGTCGCCCACAAAGCCATCCAAGCATTGAGTCAATTGGTTCAAATGGACGTTCCCAGCATATGCGGACTAGTAAATGACTGGATCGGGCGAAATGTGAATCTGCCTCTGGCCGAACCTTTCGTACCGGGGAGCATTGAGGCTGCGCGTGCATTTTGGGAGCTCCGTGGTCATGAGTGCGGCGGCAGTGCTCAGATCTCCGACCAATGGATAACCAGAAAAGCACGGTTTCTGCTCAGAAATAGCAGAAGGCAAATCAGACTAGAGAGAGATACGACTGTGAGTGAATACATGGCGCAGATCTTCGACGACTGCCTGCGCTGGGAGGTCCTAGGTATTTTCTTCACCGCAGCCTCTCGTGCCGCCCTGGATACGGACTCATGGCCGGGTCTGTATTCCAACTTTGAAGAGAAGCGGCATCTTATCAAGGCTGTGGCCTATATAAGTGACTGCTGTCTCGAGATTTGTCTCTCTCTTGATTGCCTCAATGATCTGCAGGCAGTTCTTCAATACGAGAACCTGATTGTTCACTCACAGGTGGACGGAGACCAAAGTACGCCGTTCCGCTAAACAAATCACAAGTCATTCACCTTTGAGAATCATATAGATACTAATTTCGAAATGGCTAGGCTATCAATTCTGGCGTAAAATAGGTGATGCCGCAAGCACATTCTTCGCCCTCGGATTCCACGAAGTCATCGATGAGAACTCAGCTCGAATTCCTCTCTTCGTGGCTGAATTACGAAGAGCCATTTCAGCTCGAACATATTCTGCGGATAAGAAGATTTCAGTATTCTTGGGCCGCCCTCCGCGCATTGTGAAAGCGCATTGTACCTTGCAGTTGCCTCGAAACATCCCGGATCTTTGGAACGATGACGCGCAAGAGTCACATTTACGATACATGCATACAGATATTCCCCCATCTGAGTTCACAACATTCGATTCTCTTGAGAAGATCAACTACACCGCGGATACTCGATGTAATGCTCTCTTCTCCGCTATCAAAGAGGAGATCATAGAACTCTTCCGAACCCGCCACTCTCATGACCAAGTGGCCAAAATAAGGTAAGAGATCCTTGATTTCTAATTGTGGCTTCTTGTTCTAACTTTTAACTTATTTCCATAAAGTTCTCTGCAGCAAGCTGTTGAAAATATTTGGCAAAGCTTCCCAGTTCGCTTCAAATTGTCGACCAGCCTCCGAGACAGCCCTTCCAATTCGTTTGAACGTGATTTTCTCGTCGGAACCCGTCTCGAATACTTGCACAATCTTCTCCTTCTGGACCTGATCTCTCTCAAGAATTCTACAGGCCCCAGTGAGGCTCTCCTCGCGGTCGCGGGCGAGATGTTGTCTTATTCAGTTGAACTCATCATACTACGGCACACACTGGTCAACTCCGGAACATCTCTAATCTGGAAGGTATGTATGCTCGTTCCGCCTTTTTTACATTATATTTGATTAATTTACTTGAGATTAGATCTCCCAATATGGCCTCCCAGCTGCCGCTGCCGTGTCGCTGTCGCTTCTTAACCCAGCAACAATCTTCAACTCCAAGTCCAGCTCCCGTTCCAACCTCATCCAAAATCTCAGCATCTTCGTTGGAGAGTTCAAGGGAAACACCTTCATCCAACCCAGTGAACCTAACTACGCACTGTTCGCCCGGGCCACGAGGACAATTCAAAGCATACTTGACGCGGTGCTGTCCAGTCCATTACTACCATTGCCGCAACAACAGCCTGTGCCGGTATCCAACGATCCCACCACCGCCTTCACGTATTATTGGGATCCATGGGAGTGCGAAAATGACTTCTGGGCGAACCTGGCGGAGCATCCGAATCTTCTGGGGTCATAAACTTCTTCCATAACATGGTTTCGGATATTTCAGTTTCGGAGATCTCGGGTAATAGATTTCGTTTCAAAATGTCTCGCATATAGATAGTCATTCATTGCACAGAATCAAATGCCTTCTTGAGCGCCTGATAGAATGGATGGTTTCCGCCCCTCGTTGCGCGAAGGAAATGGAAAAACCTTTGGAGCAATTGCTCAAAGTCCGGGATGAGCGGTGCAGATGCCGGGTCAGCAACGCAGTGCTGTAATGCCATGATCACCCCCATACCAATGTCATATATTCTTTCAATCTATAGAGTGTTATGTTAGCTAGAGAAAAATTACGGCCGGGGTTACTTGTGGAGGGTGCAACTCACGATCCCGATACCATGGGTTGCCAGTCGGTCTTCACCACAGATGTTTGCAATATCCAGGGCCTGTCTCGCGATGTGAACCATATAAGAGGGTCTCAGGTTTTCGTGCTGGGAAGTCTCATCCAGCAGATCGTGTGTGAGGCAAGAAACCCATAATCTCGTAGTGAGCCAGAACCGCAATATACTGATATCAATGACTTGCCCCTGGGTCAGTATCTCAACACCCTCGTGTGCAGCGCGATCCTCTAATATGCGTGCTGAAAGAATGTTTTCCGGATCGTTGGGATCTTCGCTAGGTGCGGCCGCGCTCTCTATGCTGTTGAAAACTTGGACCGCCTGCTCAATCGTGACTTTGGTGCATGCCTGCCGGCCGGAGGAGCAGCTGGAGTTCCAACATGAGATGACACGTTCGTCGACGGCACTGCATAGTTTACTGAGTCGTAGCAATCCTACCGTTGCAGAGGCCATTCGTGAGTCAAAAATGACAACGCCGGAAAGTTCTTTGACGCTTGCGGCACGTAGCGAAACGTGGTAATTATGTAGATCCTGAAGTGGTTGGCCTGTAAAGCTGATATAGTGGTTCCGCTGCAGTGCCACTGATCTGTATTGTACACGATATTAGCATTGATGGACAATTTTCCTTCTTTAAGAGCTGACATCAATCGGGGTCTTCAATACCTCTCTGTAACGGAAAGCACCAGGTAGACTCGAAGTCTATGACTGATTTGGCGGGGTGTTAAGCCTTCATATGACTCTGGACGATGTAGACCGATCAATCGACCGCATTCGACTGCCTCTCTAAGCTGTATCCACGATGAATTCTGCATGCGCAGGTTGAACAGGGTGGCAAACATGAAGAAGCTTGTGATGATGATGACGAGATTCGGGTTTTCGGCAAAGTCGAATGAAGCCCTTGCTCGAGCAGCCGAATGAAGTAGTTGTTTTGCCCTGGATTCTCGCGAAGATATGAAGCCTAATTCATTCTCATGAACTGGCTGCATCATTGCGAAAGCACAGAGAGAGTAAATCATTGCTCGAAACTGAAGGTCATGTTGGTGTCTCTGGGCCATGAGGTCACGGCCCAGCTCAGCACGGTCAACCACTGGGACAGTGGAATACAACCGATCAAAGAAGACTTCAACCCAGGACATAACTTCTGCTTCGTCGAGTGTCATATAAGAGCCGGGGTCTGTGGGGCTTTCTGTATCCCGGGGCGTGTTGCTAATGTCCTCCAGTTGACGCCAATCTCCGGGATGGTTGCGGTCCGCCAGTGCCATATCGGGACTTAAAAACGGACGGCGATGTTGAGGTGCATGATCTTGCCGAGGACTCACCCGCTGACTATTTCCATGGTTATCTCGGATGCTAGCAGGGCTATGACTGGAGTTGGATGCTGCATAATCGTTGACTACTGGCCGATCTGAGTCTGGCGACTCCAAAGCATAACGTTGCTCCGGGACTGTCAAGGAACTACCAGCATCAGCGCGAGGCGCATTCGAATTGCGCAAAGCCTGGATACGCCTCCCATTCGATGGCTTCAAGGGACGCGACCGGCTTGAAGAGCAATCCAGTCGGGACTTTGCGCATCGCGAGCAAGGCTGGAGTCCATCGCACTAATTCACAGCTGTGTTAATTCGCTGGCCAAATGAATATTACGGGGTTCTCGAATCCCACCTTGACCTTGCGATAGCTACATTGATCACAGGCTCTCTTGGGCCTGCCAACTGGGGCCAAGGGCCCCCCATCACCATCATACTCCATCGCCCCATGAAGTATTTGCGTGCGCGCCAATACTAGATATGATTCCAGCAGATAATAGCGCCAGGAGGACTTTTTACACCATATCCAGGCTCGTAGGTCTTGGTGCGACGCCGGTAAGAATTTGCAAGTGAGGATGTGTGGCTGACGCGTGACGTCGCAAATACGCGGGGGAAAACATTGCAACTGGAGCATCAAAGACGGCGCAGAGGATTGCGAAGGGGCTAAGCCATTCCCGGGCTTATTTTTGGGCGTGTATCCACTCAAGTTACTAAAAAAACACGGCACACTAAAGCCCTGATTACGTAGTATAAGCCTAATTTTCTTATTCAAATGATAATAAATACAACACAGATAGAACAATAAATTATCGTAGTGAATTTTCATCTCACGTTTTTGCTTCTTTATCAAGTTGATGCTGGAAGCTCTGGGTGTGTTGCCTCGGTCAATCACTTGCCGCTAAAAGCAAAGCGCACTAGCGCCCTTGCTAAACAGTATAGCGCTAGAGCGCCTGTAATGGTCGTGACTAGCCAATCAGCGAGCTGTGTTTCAGCAGGCACCCACTGTATTTACTCAGTACCTCTGGTATGTGTTCACATGCTACAAATGCCTGGCGAGAATTAAATGTTGCCTTGATCAGAGTTGCGATCGTCATCAAATTGAAGTTAATTATTAAGATTGAAAATGATGTTTCAGGAAATGCACCCGGAACCATCTAATTCCCATAACTTGAAAGAAAGCAATTCGCTTCTTTCACCCTTTGCATCTGTGCTTTCTACGAAAGGTCGCACCCCAAATGAAGTGCCTGATGTAGGGTAGACTCTAGTTGTGATGGCCGTCCTGCCATTGACAAATATTTCAAGGACACTGCAATCATAGTATACGTGAAAATCAAGTGTCTCGAGCTCTTCCGTCTTATTGGAAGAGTCTAGGAAATTAAACAAGGTGTGAGGTGCCCGTTCAGGCAGACGGTTGATTCCGGTGTAGCTTGTGGATGCCGACCGGTCAACATAGAGCATCTCGTTGCCGGGCTCGAAGTAAACACGAGCGGTTTCCCGGTAGTCTAACAAAAATTCTTCAGGTTAGCACAACACATACAACTAGAACTCCTCGTGCTTGGATAAGCCAGCTCACCTTGTGAAAAATCAATCTCGAAGCCGCATCTAGTGGCGCTTCCAATCTTCAAAGACATCTTCATCTCCCAGCTATCGCATCCGTTGAGTAACTCAACCTGATCTGGAGCCCTGGATGTAAACACTCTTGGCTGCAGTGAGTATTGGGAACGCCGAAGATTTTGGAGTCGGGGATCCGGTACAGCACAAAACGTGAGAATGGAGAACGTGTCGTTTTCCGTGGGTGTGGCTTGGATCGATGTGATTTGCCTGACGTCTGTCTTAAGGGCTTTGGTCACAGAGTGAAGCTCAACCAGTCGTAGCACACGCGGTATAGAGAGGCATCCACTCCATTTTTGGCGTGCAGTAAGGTCTGGGGATAGATCCTCTTCTAGCACCCAGCCAAATGCGACTTGTTCACCTGTGACAGGATCAGGGAAACTGGCCATGGCGTAATAGCACCCGTGATCGACAATACCGCCAAACTTGAAACCTAAATCAACACCATTGGGAGATGATTCTAGTTGTCCGCAGAGCCACATTTGGGAGTGGTCATCAATAACTTCTGATCTCTCTTTTGGTCTTGGCTTTTGACACCCCTCTACACCTAATGTCATGATGTTGTGTCTTTTCCCTTTCGAGTCCGTGAGAGAGATGAGGTTTGCAGTTTCGAAATTTTGACCATAGTCACCAGTCCAGGCTGAGGGGGTAAAGTTCATCCCCAGGTCGCTAAGTGTGCCGATGTATGACCACTCTATGAGACGAGTCGGATTGATCTCATAGAGAAATACTGTTGGGGTCTTGCCTCGGATGCTCCCCGCCACCAAGCCGTATAGAGATGGTGACGTCCGCCCAAGCATGAGATCGGCCTCTTTCCATCGTGTGATGAATGGATCTCTCCAACCCAGGACGCTGTGCTCCTTTGGTGGGAGACTGACAATGGCGTTGTGTTCATACCTAGTCCAGCTCCTCCCACCATCCGTTGAGGTCGCCATATGGATAGACTCAGCTCCGAGATTATAAGGCAAGGTGTAATGGAGGGGGAGATAGCGTGCGGATGTGAAGAATGCTGTCAATGATCCATCTTTCTCTCCATTTGGGTTGGTAGGCAGCATCGAGCCAGTGAAGACACCTTCCTCACCATGAGCCCTATCAGGCTCCATGGAAGGTGTTTTTTGCACATCCCAGTGTAAGAGATCATTCGACAAAGCACAACCCCAAGACATGTTTCCCCATTCATAGCCCTTGGGGTTCCATTGGAAACCAGCATGATATGTTCCTGTGGCCTCATTGTAGCCGAGTGCGCAAGGGTCGTTCATCCACCCATGAGGGGCCATGAGGTGGAATTTGGGCCGCCATCTGTCAAAAGCTGGTCGGGTCTGAGATGGATTTTTTGACTTTGAACGCGCTTTGTTGTCATAGAAATCGAACGCCGAAGCATTCAAGCTATTGTTGAAGAAGTGCGGAGTAGGAGACTCCCGAACTCTTTCCGTGGCGATGTCGCCCCTGGAGTCTGCTGTTAACATGGTGTGATGTTGAGGGTGAGGTGATTGGATTTGAAGCAGACAGATGACCTCTGCATTCATTCGAGACTATGGAAGAAATGGATATCTTATTTACTTAGGAAACAGCATGCCCCGGATTTCAAGACCACGTGAACGAACCTGATCTGCGTTAGTTAATTCTACTCGAGGTTGGGAGCGGCATTGTCGTAGCCCACTTATTCTCGGTGACGATTTCGGGAAAAATATCGGTATACTTCTCGGTAGTGGATCCATTGT